ACCTTTTGTAGTTTTATATATAGAACGCTTTGTTCTTTTATTTTTTCTTGTAGTGGAACGTTATTTGATATTTGATTTCTCTAGAGGAGGAAATTAATGGGGCTGGGAATCGACCCTTATTACTGACTTTTCCTGATGTCGAGTAGACAGCGAACTGCGTCTTTTTTCAGCGTGTATTATTGCAGAGCACGTATACCGAAGGCTGTGTCGTTTTAGGCCTTTTCCGTAAACAATATCTAGTAACCATCTTATCGGATCTCTAAATCTTGCCCTCAATGTAGGTTCCTATAATGGGGAGAATATGTAGTTTCTACTGGCCTGAAAGCTCGAGGGAAATTTGTGTTGTTTAGCCAAATCTTTCATTCGTGATATCCAAGTCACTTTTCAACAAAAGCCGTACGCAAAGGAATACATATCCAATAGTACTGACACCGGGGTTCCATATATCCAAAATGCCACAACCAACTGAACATCACACTCAATCAAAGCCACTGTAGTGTACTGTGGCTCATTGTTTCTTGGGTGGTTCTGGATTTAATAGAAGGACATTCAGTCTCAAGGTCTCCTAATAACGTCATCTACCGCTCGCCCCGTCTTGCTTGGCCTGTAGACCTGTTTAATCTTCGAATTTACGATATTACAGCTCTGATGCCGGTGGCTAATAAGTAAATTTCGGTATAGCACTCGGTTTGGAATTATGATATACAAAAGAAAATATGTGGCATTGTAGTATTTTACCGCTACTTATATACAATAAACTAAAAACAATAACTTATTATGATTAAATTTTACGCCTCTGATCAAATCTTTTCTCCTATCACTTTACCAGAATCTACCCTCTCCCTCTTGTGATGTGTATTTTCCTTCTCCCATGTTGATTTCTTCACTAACACCTCACCAACAAGACTTCCCTCTTCTCTCAATACGACCCACTCACCCCTACCTAGATGTTTCGGCGCAACCCTAACCCCTCTACCACCCCCACCAACTATCAGGTTCCCCGGTCTATACTTTGGATCGGCGTCCATTCGTTTAATCACCGAATTATGTATCTTAACATCATCAGGGATGTCCCTAACTTCGCCACATGGCAAGGGCCAGGTAATTGGTTTCCAAGACCCGTCTGGCTGCAAATCCATTCTTCTAAATGGAAGATACTCCATAATCTTCCATCCCAATGTCCCCGTAAGTGTCAATCCTCCCGATGGATAACAAAGACAATCGTGGATCTTCCCCTTTGTGCAAGAGTCGATGAGAAACTGACGTGTATCTTGGATTGGGCCTTTCTTTCCTTTGGGAGTGGCTGTAGGAGAGATGTTTGATGATGAAGTACCGTTAGTTGCAGTGCCATCGCCATTGGTTGCAGCTGTAGGATTACCAAAGGTGGGGATTGTAGGGGTAGAGCCAGTAGGGGAACTGGCGGAGACTTCGATTTTGGGAATGGTGCCACCTGTGCCCTCAAGGTTGAGATTCGATTCTTCCAAATCGAACTCATCGAGCCAACAATTGTGGGTTTTCATTCTCTCCTTATCAAACACCACGCCTGCCTTTCTGGCCTCCCGGACCTATTCGAAATGTTACTAACAATTAAACACGTAAATTATGATTAATCTCAATCAACTTACCATCCATATGAGTGGTACCTGCGACAAGGGGAACTCCCCATCCGCCATATCCCACCCTCCTCCAATGTCAGCATGGGCCCCGGGAAACCACACTTCTTCAATATCCTGTTCCCTCTTTTCGTCCTCATCGTCTTCCTCATGAATTCCCAGACTCATAATACTCCCCTGATCACCACCCAAACCGGGGATTGGGGTATGTATAGGCAATCTTTCATGGCTTCCCGAGAATCTCTGGTGTCGTGTCGCATCCCCGGACCTTCCGGCTCGTCCAGACTCATAAGGATGAGTATTCCCCTTTTCACCATCGGAGGGTGCTAGGTGTCCATTCGAGGGACTACGGTGCCCAATCCCACGCATTGCCTCTTTGAAAAACTTTTCGGTGTTGAAGGAGCGCCGGCGTGCAACTTCGCGGTCAATCTTTTCCACGAGATCTTGACGGAACTTTGCACGACGTTCGTCGATACCGACTGCGTGGCGGATTACACATGCTGTGCCTGTACCAAAATTAGTAATTAGTATTTATGTGCTAAAGTCAATGATCAGAGGGCGGGTACTTCGTGCGGTGTAGGGAAAGCCCTTAGAGCGCTTCAACCATGCATCCTCGAATCGAGGAACAGAGTTGACAGTATCGAAGAGACCCATAAAACGCACCCTTCTAACTGGCCTTGCAAAGGTTTCTCTGAACGCTTTCATATAGCTGTATCATTCACATTAATCAAAAAAAACATCCTTATTCCTGAAGTTGGAGCCGGTGGACGTACTTGTACATCTCTTCTTTCTTTTTTCCCCACCCATCTCCATCTTGTCTTTGTTGCCAGTTTGAAAATGTCTTCCAGGCAAAAAGTACCATTTCCTCGTTGCCAGGACTTACAAGTCCGACATGGTCCAACATTTCGGCCAAAAAACGGGCAGTGTATGCGCCACGGGAGAAACCGAAAAAATATATATCGTCACCGGCTTCATAGTAGCGCATGAGAAATTTATAGCCACCGATTACGTGCTGATCGAAAGATGTTCTGTTCCCCCTTTCATATTAGTTTAATTGTTGGCATGCTAAAGAGAGTTAGTTACACACCCGACAGCAGCATCCATGGCCTTTTGACACCATGATTTAACACGGGAATAAACGTGCACACGAGAAAGTGTACCGTTGGTGATATATGTTCCAATTCCGGCTTTTCTTTTCGATCAGTATAGAGTCACCCTAAAATCCTGGGCTGGGAGCACAAGAACTGAACTTTGTGTAATGCACTTACGTTGGTAGTAATAAACTGTCAGGCGTTTGAAATCAGTATTTTATATAGATGTGGAGGTACGCGCGCGCATATATATATGCGAAGGGCGGAAAGAAAAAGAAAAACACATAACGGCAAACAAGAAATGAAGTTTAAATAAACAGAAAACTTACATTGCTCAGGACCAGATCGATCCAGCATATGGAATATCTTGAGGATATTCGTATCTCCTTCATTCCCTTTGAATTTATTTCCGGTTCCGTCAAAGCATAAGATGATTTTCTTCCGCTGCCGCTCTCCCACGTGTGTCTTGTGGGTGTTTATGCTGGACGGCCGGATATGCATCTTCTCAGGACCTGTCATGTTGACTTTGGTAGTTGACTAGTTTCTGTATCTAATAATTATTGGGTTGGTGGGTTAGCCTGTAGCTAGTGATATAGTATCAGCTGTAAGTAAAAGATAGTTGTAACCGTCGAACTTTTGACGAGGAACAGACTTCGGAGAGTGAGAAAGGAGAGGATCGAGGGTAGACAAAGGGCCTTAAATCAAATCTAAGCCTTGGGTAAGGGAACCAATTCCTTAGCTAAATGTAGGCAAGTACCTACTTCGAGCCTCCAGTACTTGTGCAAGGCTGATTGATCCGGGAAGATTTGCATCTGATCCAGAAAGAGATTATGCAGTGATAGTGCTGTATCACAGCTGCACAGGGAGCAACCCATCGTAGATGAATGGATGAGTTACACAATAGTCTCGTGAATAGACAGATGTTGGATCAACATGCATTCGGGGTGCTTTTTACACGGGTAGAGAGGTTGCTGGTTGGCCAATTGGATTGGTCGATGTGGTTGATGTCATTAGTAGATGGCGGTTCAGCCCGACCAAGTATGTGTACTCGGTATCAAACTTCAAACCAGAGTTACCCCTCGGGAGTGTCTATGATTCTACTGGTAGATAAATTTATGACGTTCCCGGACTGTAGAGTATGTGCTCTATGTACCGTCCGCATACACGTACACTCCAAACCTAGGAGCCTAGCTAGAAGCATGGTGAAGTTACTGCACTTGAGAGTGTATGTATTTTGTTGTATGGCCATCGATCAATTACTTGGGGCTGAATTGAAGCGTAGATACATGTAATTAGAATGAATACCAAGCATTCAGCCAGACCCCTAAACCCCGGATAGTCCCTCCTCATTCCCCCCCTTCCACGGTCCACCTACGCAATCCGGAACTCCTCAGCCGAGAGATCAACTCGCGTATCTAAAGCTACACCAAAGATCCCTTATTGGTGCGCCCGTCTAGCCGGCCTTCCATGGTTTAGTGCCGATCAGTACTAGGAACAAATTTTATGTTGCTAGTCGCCGTCTGTTCCCTTGCTTTTATGCCAAGTCACTCTAACCACGGTCGCTTCTCTCTTCCCTGGAGATCTAACCTCCTCCCTCTGCACCTAACTTTGAATGTCACCGATCCCGTGAGTCCCATGGATACATAAGCAACCCTTATTGAACCCTGTGATTTTGCCCTAACTACCTCACCGGTGTTTGTTTCCGGACTTGAAGATGGGAATTCAACAGAACAGCACCTTGCATCGAGGACCCCTCTCGATATCTCTCCCATTGAAGTGAGTACATATGTTCCATGTGCTTCACTCGATTGGTTCAGCCTATCACGTTTAATCGACTGCTCGTATAGTAATAAACCATTCAACTGGGTAGTTCATGTGTGCTAGGCACTCGAATTCGATTATGAAGAATTTGATTTGTAGAAAGAAGCTTAAGAAAATGTGCTCGACACCCAACCCAATCCCCCCCCCCCCCCTCCAAAAGCTTACCCCGACTCGATACCCAGAAAGGAAGAGCGGGCTGACTAGTCCCATGCACCTATAGGTGATCCGCCGATATTCTGAGAGAGAGAAAAAACAAGGAGAATGAAAACCAGTGGATCGGTCAAATCGTTGATAGTTCAGCTGGAATTGTCACAAAAAAAAACAAGCACTTGATGATTCCCCCTCCCCCCCACCTAAAAAAAGAAATAAGAGAAAGAAGAATAAACCAATAGCAAAAAACCTAGAAGACCGGCTAAGGACAGATAGACAAATTGCTCTAGAATACAAATAGACAGTGAACGTGGAAGCGTAAACCCTAATTATCCGCGACAGTGGCAGGTGGGACTGGGCCATTGACGACCAAAGGCTTCTCCTTGGAGAGCTGGCCAATAGTCTCGTCACTCAGGTTGAGAGTGTCCTTCACGACCTGGGGCGGGGTCAGGGCAAGCCACTGGCCGAGAGAGATATCTGTATAGGAAGTCAGACAATCAGTATTGATAAAGCTTATCACTCACACTAATATGTGAATTGTTACTGGGAAAACACGGAAGAAAAAGGAAAGATGAAACATACCGGTAAACTTCTTCGCTTGCAAGACTTCCAAAACGGTGACGTCCTCAGTGCCGATATTCTCGATGTAATGGCTCATACTCTTAGGAATATAACCGACGTCACCTGGGCCGTAATCGAAAGTCCTTGCGTTGTTCTCAGCAGCGTAGATGGTGATCCTAGCATGACCGCCCAAAAAGAACGACCACTCATCAGAATCCGGATGCCAGTGAACTTCACGCATGGCACCAGGATGAATCGTAACCAAAGCAGCGGCGAAATTTTCGGCAATCGGGAAAACAGTCGAGTCAATAATCTTGACAGTTCCTCCAGGTGCTATGATTGGGTCCTGCTGACTCCAGTGGAAGGAGTACGAATCGACATTCGGGATAACACCGGCAGGACCGGTGACATTCTGCTTCTGGATATCTTCTGGTGCTTCGGTACCCGGGAAGATGAACAGCTCGCCAGCGGGGATGTTGTCGAAAGCATCGACGGGGACCTGGAAATTCTTTGCGAGAACCTCTTTGGGGTTACGGGCGAATGTCTCGGAGACTAAGAAGGTACTATCTTCGGAGAAGGAGCCATCATCGAAGACAAGGAGAAACTCGACTCCATCAGAGAGACCCTGGATGGAGTGGGGAATTCCGCTGGGGAAAAACCAGACGTCACCCTGGGTAACGTCGTCGATGAAAGTCTGGCCTTCAGTATTCATGGATTGGATACGGGCAGACCCGTTCAACACCAAAGCCCACTCACCGGCGGTGTGCCCTAATCATAATAATTAGCATACGGTCCTATCGAAACCCAACCATGACTGTACTCACAGTGCAACTCTCTGTATGCCCCCTTCTCGAGTCTCATATCAACACCAGCCATCTCTGTTGCAATTGGCAAAACTTTAACATTCTGCTGTCTACTCCAACCACCCTTATCCAAACCCAATTTTGTATGACTAAGTCCCATCGGCCACTCGGCCTGCGCGACAGCACCACGATCAGTGACGGGAGGCGCAAAGGTATCTGGATGACTCTTCTGGAGAGAGATATCATTGTTGCTAGCGATGGTACCACCACGAGTTCCACGAATTGGCTGAGGATTTGTCACATTGGTGAAGTCGAGGAAGATACCCTCCGGATCGTCAGCCTCCTGGTGAGCGGCGAATTCGACCGTCGCAGGGTGAGTGTCGCCGGTGGCCAATGGGTAGTCGGCATCGTAACCACGGAGAGAAGTAGGTCCGTAGAGTTCACCAGAGAGAGTGTACGTCTTGGTGGCGCTATCCTCGATTGCCAACGGCGCAGAAGCACCGAGGTGAGCAAGGAGGAAAGGCAAGAGGAACTGGGTAAAGCTAGGCATTGTGATGACCAGTGAGTGAGTGTGGATCGAGAAAGATGTAATGAGTGAGGAGTGATGAGTGAGGTGGAGGGTGGAGAGAGCAGTCGAAGGTAGGGCGAGGAGGAAGGCTTTATATCAATCGTGATATCGTCTTCATTGACATATGATACTCAAACTCTTTCAATTGGGAAGACTCGGGGATACCGGGAGAGGGCCTGTCTCCACACATGTGGACTGGTTCCTGCATCTAGCTCATGGTTGATCACTGAACACCTTCTTTAGATTTCCACCTTGTACCCAGAAGCTTTGAGTTTTTTGCGGGCCGGACATGGATGATTCGCTTCCGAGATTAGTTCGTTTACAGCTACAGATATATTCCTTGACAGCATGAGACATTATCGATTGCAAGTTTCTGGATTATCAAAATCCAAAATCTTACTTGATACCCCCACAACTAGGGCCATGTGAGTTTCCCGTTATCCCACTATGCACCCGAGCTCGTCATTCTTTTCTTTACAAGGCAACAGTAGATCCTTGGCTAGTACTGTCTCTAGATTTGAAAAGCCAACTAGGGAGCTATGCATGTTCCATTCTAGAGATGGTTATTAATGAGGACAATATCCATTAGCCCCGGCCAATTGTAACTGATAATGCAGTAATAAGATTTTTTTTTGAGCATGAAGCCCCGGAAGCTAGCGGGTTAGAATGCATCTAGTAGAAATTTTATAGTATTACTGATGCTGTTCTTTGTCGTTGTTGGACGGATGTGAAGGACCAAGGTAAAAAAAAAAACATGGGCGAATGAAAGAAGACATGATGTTGAAAACCACGCTGTTGCGGGAACACTACATGTACCTGAGGATAAAGTAGCTAGGGCACGCACTAGGCTATGATGCTGTAGACTGCACCCTACTATCCGAGCTATTCCGCTCACAGCTCGTATATGATTAATATTAAGGCCCTTTCTGGGTGGGGGATGGCCAGGTTTGGTTTGGGAAATAAAAAGAGCTTATAACATGCCAAGACAACCTGAACCCAGCATTGCTCAAAACATCACTAGCTCTGCGTGCAGCCTGGGGAGTGGTAGAGTATCACACACCTTTGTGGAAATAAAAAATAAAAAATACCATGTTCTTACTTTACACCCGCAAACCAAACCACTCACATGGAATCCGGAGTTCCGCGCGACACATACATAGCACTACAGCCCGGATCATTTGCTAGAGTATGTAACGTAACGAGACAACAACGGGCATGCCTAAGCTTCCGAAACGTTCCAGCCGGAGATATCAAGAAACATGAGAAACATTCCTTCTAGAACAAACGTGGCCGTGTAATATCACATTAGTTATCGACCTGCACCGGCGAGACTTGAGACATCGTCATATGTCCCACATCTCGGCGTCCGGGAGAGAATTGAGAGCTGATAGGGTATAGGGGGGAAAAGATGATTAATTGATCATCACCCCCCCCCCCCCCGGTTAATTCCCCTACGGCCATGACTCTCCACTATAGCTCTGCTTGACTCGACTCGCACGAGCCATTATGAATCAAACCCGTCCAGGTATGGAAGAGGAGTACGCAACCTCAAACTGAATGATAAGTCCATCCCAATATACGCGAGATGCTGGGGGAGGGTTGATTGTTGCTATCTCCACAATGTATGCATGGGCTAACTAACCAGTCACGGTAAATCTCATATAAGAGATCGAGGGCAGAGCTTGAGTAGGTATAAAAATCTATATTACATTTCATTACCCACCCCCGGATTAGCTTAGCTAGTTCGCTATGTAGTTAGCTAGCCACTGTTACCCCCCCAGTAGAGTCGGGATTACATACTGGCCGTTGCACAGAAGGGGGGGGCGGGGAGGCGTTTAAGCATTTTACTAAATTATAATCGGCCCTCCCTCGCCCTTCCCGGCCAGGGGAAGGGGGGGATGCCGTTGTTCCGCTTGACTGCCATGATCGATGATAATATAAAACCTACGAATGACGTTAGATGGGGCGTTGTTAGCGGGTGTAAGTCGGGTAGGAAGAGAGTGTTTGACGCGTATGAGGCGATGAGAATTAGGTAGGTAAGTTAAGTTGGGGCTTGTTCAGTGGAAGGGTGGAAGGTTGTAGTTGGACGAGTTGAGGTTGCGCGTGTTACTGTATATGTTGTTTCCTGGTTAGTTAGGTGTGTCCTTGACATACTACGCATGACCGCTAGATCTCCAAACCAATCATGCTGACCGCACCAGAAATGCGTCCAATAGCCAGCGATTGATTGAAGTTACATATATGTATCTACTCTCTAGCATTGTTGTTTCCATACTCATCGGAGCAACGTGCATCTATGGCACGGGTTAAGCTTCAAGCTTCAGAAGGTCTCCAGGGAGCAAAGCCTCGGTACGGGAGGCCTGTAATTCTGCCTTGCATTGTACCATTCAGGAACCCGCCTCGCCAGTTACCCATGACCGTTATGAAAATGGCATTCTAGAGGAGATACCAGCTAGTAGATTTGATATATACACAGTACATCATGTAGTACGTAGTATCTACCTACCCTTTGTGCCGTCACATCCTTTCTCTTCCGGTAGTGAGAATCGGTAATAATAAATCACTACAAGGAGTAGATCGAGTACTCGTAACCAGTTGCAAAATAGTTCTAGCGCATAATTATATAAACTCAATCTCATATAAGTTGTTGCGGATATCACGGGCGAGAAAGTTAGCCGTTTCTTTTACTCACTAAAGTGCATGTACACCCCCTGAATTCATTTTCAATTGGTTGGATTAGATACTCTGTTAGCTCTTCTTGTATGTGAACCTGGAGACACGTCTGATCTACTTTCTAATCTGATGACAGCGGTTGGTTCCGTTGAACTACTGTTAGTGTTAGTAATCGATTTAGCTCATACCAGTACCGATATACTAGTTCCTTCATACAAAAATTTACCGTGGAGCCGACATACGACTCATGTGAATCATAACTTTACACAAGCGAGATAAGGCCATTCTCCTGAGAGACATATCTTCTGAGAAGAAGAAGTATCACCATCGCGCCCGTGTTTATTGTTGTATCCCCCTAGCGCTCTTTGCCAAGCGAACTTTTGATTAAGTCAACAAATCAAGCCTTTATCCACGCAAAAGACCAAGCGTTATTAATTGATAAGTACGTGGTACTTGGGTGTCATATTAATAGAAGGGTCACCTCGGTCGATCTTAGGCCGCAACAGGAATGAGTAGCCCAATTCCATCTACTCCAAAGGTTTCCTGAGGATAAACAGGTCGCGGAGACTTTTCACGGTCAACGACGATAAAGTTCGGGCAGATAACGTTTGACTAGATCTTGAGCACCTACATATTATACGTAGGTAAATTTCGGCATCTTTAACCACCAGAGTATGTATACCAGTGCGCCCAGCTAATCCATAGGTAAGTAAAGCATATGTAGGTACATACTTGATCTGGGAAATCAGTTGGCGAATTTCCAAGAAGAATACCGATTAACCCTGTATAAATCCAGTTTATGCACGCGTGACACCTGGGTTCTGGGATCGTGTGGGAGTTTTTCTCTTTCTTGCCACACTCATCATTTTAACCTTCCGGTATCCGATTGATCCAAAGTGCAAGGATGTATGTATGTAGGTACAAAGCACATAGTGATCCATTTCAGTCCTGATTTTGATCAAGACCTGGTAAAATATCTACGAAATCCAAAGATTTGTTTTAGGCGGGAAGGAGGTCTTTGGGGTAGTTCAGGGGGTGTGTTAACCAGCTAATCTCCTGGGACAGACGTGAGGTGTGAATCTTCTAGGTTTGCTCTGCATGCTTTCGGATTCAACAATGACATTCGAGAATTTCGTAATGATGAGTAGTCCCCATGTAGCTGACTTCCGTTCTTCCCCTTCTAAGAAATTCGTTATCGACTTGGGGTGAACCTTTGCCTGGGTACTGTTTCATCAATCCTGTATTCTTTGAGGGAAGAGAGAAATCGGAAAGGGATCATCTCAATTCGATATTAGGTTTATATAAATAGAATATAGATAATTACTTGTCAGCACATGTGATCAATGTTTAGTTCACAAATTGAATTTTAGGGATTCTTTTACCTGTGGCGGAGATATGCGTCATAAATTATCACTCGGAACATCAATCCACCAGCCGTTCCGAACGAATAACACAACATGCAGAGCACATCATACGCTGTCATAAATTAAAGTATAATCCGACATGCTACTTTGTAAGCGTAAATGATTAAATTAAATTAACTACTCATGCATATGATGTGCAGACCACCGGCCGGTACGCTGGAACGTATAATTCCTCGATCCGGGCCATAATCTGAATTCTCCTCACCGTTGGTTAGTTTTAAATTATCTCCCCGAGTGACATCTAATCAAAGCCTACCTGTACTTCCGATATATCCCCATACACATCTATCAAGAAAGGTGTTTGAGATATCAACATACCAGAAAAACAGGTACCGGTCATAATTAGATGTTATAGTTTCTTCACCGCTAGAACATCGTACCATCAGAAAACACCATTGTCACTGATAATAACCAAAGGTTCAAATATCAGTCTCGCTTTTGTCTCTTTGATTGCTGGGGATCACTCGCCAACGTATAAAAATCAACCTTCTTCCTTAGAATCCTGACACAGGAATTCCCCTCTCCGGCATCAAAGACGAATATTTCAAGTTCACCACGGCCTACATGCTGGTATTTCCTGCCGCGTAAGTTGCATGTCTTTTGATAGAGGGGACAAGAACTTAGTAGACCCACCTTTCTTGGCACTGAAGCTCAGTGAGTCGGTACATGTGTGTGTGCCAGAGAATACCTATCCACATACACCGGGCTACATCGAGGCAAATTCAGTCATCCTATTTTTCCCTTTTGAGGGTAGTTATCTAACAATGCCACCAACCCTTCAAGTTGTAGTTCAGCTGCGGATACTCAGATAAAGACCGGGATTACGGTAGTACAGGGTAAGCTGGAGAAACAGCATGTGCCTTTTGTTTCCGTTTGTTAGATTCGTCTAATCCTGTAGAGCGAGTTGCTGGGATGACCCTAGAATTAAGGTTAGACGAGATGGTGAAGTTTAGTTATGGGATAAATGCTCCTCTCTGATGGTTCTACGCATCTGTGTTTCAGTGTACCAAAGTGTCCTTTCCTCCAGAGTCTCCTCCCAAGTGTCCTCCTGGGCCCCAGTGTGTTCCCTCGTAACTCTCACCACACAAGTCTTTCATCGACCTAACCTTTGGTTCAGGGAAATACTACTCTAGTTGAGAAAAGAAGTTGGTACCCCACCATCATCGATCCACTCCTCATCCAATAACTTCCTCAGATCGTATGACGGCACCGCAACTGGAGTAGGTAAGTGCACACATAAAAAAGATTAGGATACTGCATTAGGTTGTATCGAGCAAACTTTATAATTCATCTGATCAGTTATCGAAATCTGTACTACCTATATCGTCAATCTTCTCCTCCTCTGCAAGGCAAGTACCCCTCTTCCTACGCCCCACGTCGACACAAGGTGTGTGCCGTAAGCCAGCAGAACCAGGAACCGCAACCGGCCGAGATCTTGTCTCAAACCCAGCACCGCGGGTTGGCTGCTTACGTATGTACCAAAAAACCGAACCTTGACGAACCATGAGTGATCACTCGGATGCTTGCCCAATGGATACCATGCAACTGGTTTCGAAGTTGTGGAACGCAACGTCGAAAAGCCTCAGTCTTCCATGATCCTCCGATGCCAGTACGTACATGTACATGTACATAGGTACGTAGTCAGCTTGTATCTCATCGTCAGAATTATAATAACAGAAACAGATATCAGGAAGAAGAAGCCGGGCTGCCGGGCGCCAAGCTATCCCGTATGTTCACTAATACCCGGAGGCTTACGACGAGCCCCCAACTACTTGACTCACTCGTGGAGTCGTAGCAACCACTTATGTACATACCTACATGTACTCTAGACGCCGAACCGATGAATACGGCCCCGACCCGCCAAGCTGTCCTGTCGGCATCGAACGGGTATGTACCGTGCTCTAGGCATATGTATGTATTATACTTTGTAATTTAGAGTATACGTGGGTTGGCTTCGGAATTCGCGGATCGTACCGCGCCGCACACCCCCCCGCCGAGAGATCTGGACAGTGGCAACTAAGCCGGAAATTTCATGGATGAGCGTCTTTCCCTTGGCAATTCATGTAGACAAGAGATTTTCTTCAGTGGGCAGTGGACAGGCCGGTGTTACCTCTGGGCCCATTATCTTGGAGCAGTCGGTGTTTGAAGGTTTCGAGGTGCTCCCCCGAGCATCAGCCCTCTCTTGTCTGGAGAAACGAAACACATCTCCCAGCACCAGTTCTAATTCCAGCCTATCAACGCTGTACCATGGCTCAACTCTCCAATACCAATCGCAGATAGCCGGAGTGTGTTCCTCTGGTAAGGCAGACCAGGCCCACGTACTGGCCCAGATCATACGCATCTTAACCATATTTCGGTATACGGCACCGAAGTCTAGCTGGGTAGGCCATGTCATATAGCTATGATAGTCTACCATCATGTACCCAGCCAGATACTGGTCGCTTAACTCCACCCTAGTCACCAAGGTACGCACCTGTTTCCCCAAACCTACCCAAGTTTTACTACACTTAATCCGAAGTAAAGTACAAAGTGCAGATGCAGTAAAGTAGGGTTCAAGGCCCGAGCCAGCCTTAACGAGATCGAGAGGAGGGCCGGCCTAACCCTAATACTCCTTTCCCCGGGAGTCCCTTGCTATGCCGAAGCCTGACCTACGTTACCTGCGCCCCACACTGCTCCACTTGAGCGCCCACCAAGGAGGAGAGGGGCAAGGGCTTTATGCATGCTTCTTAGACAGTGTTTACGATTACTGGCGACATGCCACGCACGCAATTTGTTAGGGTTTTCGGAACACTGGAATCACCGACTGTCACTCGCTGCAGGCTACTGATGGTGGATGGACTGAGGCCTCGGGAGAGTCGGATAAGAGGCCCCTGTACACTGATACACTTTTTTGTGTATTGACCCCAGCCCGGGTATGCATTCCAGCCCAACACCATTAGAAACATGAAGAGAAAGAAAAAATCCGAAACCCATACTGGCTGACTATACATACATGGATGCAGTATTCAACCCTAGGTGCTCCCAGAGAACCCGTACCCGGAAAGAAAAGAAAAGAAAAGAAAAGACTACTGTGTAGTAGAACATCACTCATGGCGCCGGTGCTTTATTCCCCCCAAATCTATATTCAGGACATGTTCATGACCAGGCCAATGTAAACATTCCACCCCAGGGCCACCATCGCACCAAACACCGTCCGCCGCTCCACGGGGATCAGCGTAAACGATATAATCGCTACCGCCGGCCACAACTTCAGCGATGCAATCACGAGCGGCCAAAAGTCCTACACACCGCACTGCATTAGCACCACCCTCTTCTCCCACCCCCAAGATGCTGACACCGTCCCAATCTATTGAGAAAAACTTACGCTTCTCACTGTGGCCACAATCTCCTCGCTCGGTAGCCCCCTCAGGCCTGCCATTCCCGCAATAAACAGCGCCGTATTCACGGGCCCACCCAGGGCCTGGTCCAGCACAAACTTCTTTGCCGTGTTTGCCAGCGAGAGCTTCTTCTTCCCCGACTTTTCATTGTTCTCGGTTGGCACCTGCGACGGGAACGCGGACTCAAGCCATTCCTGCCACAGGATGTTTGGCGGTGTCGATAGAAGGGCGAAGAGTCCAAAGTTGACCAGCGGGGTAATGTTGAGTGATAGCGGGACCTAATGTTTCGACTACTATGTTAGCTGCTGAGAGGAGGAGTGGGGGAAGGAAAGAGGGGACATGCGTTCTTTTGGTAAGCTTGTAAGAGCTGCGCGAGGATGTTGGAGAGTATGTTTAGGAACACAGTCTGCAGTGTTGCGGTCAACATGGGTGGCATTTTTGGGCTTGTTGAGGCGGTAGGGCTGTTTATTCGGTGTCCAGGCTTGAGCGGGCGGACGGCGGTAACGAACTCTTCTACTTCCTGCTGCTGCTGCTCCTTAGCTTTGAGGGTGTTGGTTGCTGTTGGCATCGAGACTGACTGGCTGGCAGATAAGACGTTACAGTTGTTGCAGTTGTTGTTTGTTACTGGGATTAGATAAGCCCTCTCGATCTTTTTTTCTTATCTCTTCCAATTGTCTTTCTGCAGCGCTCTACAATGCTCTCCTCCAATCCAAAATATCTTGAATCTAGGAGAATTAAAGTATTTAAAAAGAAGCCGCGCGCGCGCCGCGTGCGTCCGTCGTGCCGGAGCGGCCCCGGCCTGCCGGGTTTGAACTTTTTAATATTCCTATGGGCGCGCGCGATATCCCTGCTGCACTCTGGCTGAGGAAGGCACGAGACCGATTGGTCTCCGCCCAAGATTTTTAACGTTCAGGGTCTAGTTACATGTTGTTGTGTATCTTGGAGAGCATCTTCTATATCGAGAGTAGAGTAGTGTGGGGAGAGGAACTAAATTAACCCCGTAGAGAAGCGAGGCTCGCACGGGGGAAACGGGAACGGAGCCGATGGTGGGAAGGAAGGTGTAGGATCAATTAATCCCCCACGGTATGCAGTGGAAGCTTTTGTTTGAGAAAGAACATAGAGTAAGTCGCAATTGAAGTGCTACTATCGTCAATGTTATGAATAATTCCCAGGTTAAGCTTGCGAATACGACCAGTCTTGCACCCCCCCCCCCCCCCCCCAGTACTCCTCCCCCACGTCCATTCCAGGCAGGCAGGCAAAGAGTTTTTCCGACGTTTGCATCCGAAACATCTCCAACCATTGCGTGACATTGTGTTTGTAGATCGAACTGCCTTTATTCTTTAATGCTCCGTTAGCGAGATGAGATGATCCCCGCTTCGCGAATCGTGCCGGGGTTTTTGATGGAATTCCGCCGGCTCCCAGGAGAGCGGCCGGCCGCGGCTTGCTTGCTGACTGGCTTATGCTGCTCAGATGGAGGAGGCCTAGGAGGAGGAGGGGGAGGGGGAGGGGGAGGGGGAGGAGGAGGAGGAGGAGGAGTGGTATTTTACTATTATCCCGATTGGGCTTGCGAGATGATCATGAGTCAAGTCTCTGTCAGTCAGGCCTCTGTAAAACAAACCAATAAATGCATGTATGTCCTGTAGTGTAATATATTCCATGGCTGATCACGGCGCGGAAACCAAAACTACATGTACATATTGGACGAGACAACATGGGAGAGAGTGTTACTGATATATTAAGAAATCAAAGGGCACCGTGTATCAATTATACCACTTGTCACGCCACCTACTAGTCCCCATAACCCATCACCTACCATCACGTTCTCCCTCATGACAAAATATAGGGAAAAAAAACATCGCATCATATGCACCACCAACGTCCAACTAGTATATAGCCGAGACTCCCCTACAAAAAAAAAGCCCGAGAAACCCCCTAGTGCGACTACGCGATGGCGTTGCTTGGCAGCTCGTGCGTGTGTGCGCTGCGTACGATGTTTGTTAGTTACAGTCACTCACGGGGTGAAGGCGGATCCTGTCTGATGGCGGTCAGGGATTTGAGGCCAATAAAAGAGTTAGGTTTTGGACGCCAAGGGCAAATTGCTGCAAACAGAACCATCAGACAGGATTCGCCGTCAGTAGGTGAGCGACTGTAGCACGTAGCAGATGTGGGCTGGTGCCGCGCCGGCCAGCCCGAGTGTGTTTGCCCAGCTTTTTGAAGTGAGTGTCTGTGATGCGTGTAGCGAGTGATTCGCTGTGACTAGCGCTGGGGGTATATACGTACTAGAACTTGCCCAGGTATAGGTATCTCCCTCTCTCTCTCCAACTAAACGGAGGGAGCCGACAATTACCCCTCCTGGTTTCATGAATTCAACTGGCTTGTTTCTCTCAATGATGGCCGTTTCGTTTCATAGACGAGGATCCAAGTCCCGGAAGGTCAATCACATAACCGACTTGACTCCCTCCCCCTCCCTCTGTCTACCTCCCTGTCCCCAGTGACCCCATACAACAAACACCCGAAGCACCCGAAACAACCTTCCGGTCACCAACCCGAGCATAGCCGACAGAAAGCTTGTTTCTAGTACTCTAACGTACGTACCAAGCCTCTTTACCGGTACCAGCTTACCCCGGTGATCATTGACCCCGGTATGCGCACCGCCACAGTGATACCGACCGACCGGCTGGCCATACACCGTGGATACTCTACCGGCTTTGCGCTGCTCTTACCTCTTACCGATGGCACATGCGGGTGTGTAGCATCACTTTGGTTCATAGCAGAATGGTACTGAGACTGAGGTTCGACCATGAGTTCTCTACTGACTTGCATGTAACTGGCGCAACGGGGAAGAAAGAAGGCTTAAACACAGCAATTACATAAAGTTACAATAGTTTTGTCTCATGAAAGAATCATATGGTATAAAAAAACGCCCTAAAAAATCAAACCGTCGAGCAAAGCACACACACGATGGGTAAAAAAAAAGAGATAAAAAAATCCACAAAAAATAGAAGTCTACATGCAAATAACCAACGTCACTCTACCAGAACGCAATGAAAAGCACAGTCCCAATGGCATACGACACAAACAGCGCGTTGCCCTGTAGGATACCGGTGATGTGCTCGGCGGCGTTGGGGAACATCATCTTCTCGCCCTCCTCGTCGAGGATGGGGAATGTAGGTGCTCCACCGACGCCATGCGAGGCAAGACTGACCCGGTCGGGAAGGGTGAGGTTGCTGGGGATGGTGATTTCGAGTTTCTCAACCATGACTGTAGTTGGTCAGCGGGGTGAGGGGCACAATGTTAGAACATAGGGGGAACTTACTGTCGACGTATGGGAACTCGATCATTCCCTTCTTGGAGCATACTTGATATCCGAAGAGAACGGCTGCTTGACTGTAGAGCACCAAAGTGTTAGATATATGCTTCTTTCTAATGTAAACCTGTGAATGGAAGGCTATTGGGGGGCTTACGCTTCCTTGACATTCCCGGCGCACTCTTTCAGTCCACACTCAGACATCGCTTTGACGTACGACTTGTGCGTACACACACATCGCGAGATCTTTCTCTGGTCATCCTCAGACCATCCTGTAGTGTTCATGCTGTTCCCCACATATTTCTCATAGATAGATTTGCACTATACCATTCCATCAGTCCTTACACCCTAAACAACCCTTAGAAAGAAAACCCACCTTAGGATGAACATCCTCCTTGTACTTATCCTCTGTAAACAACCCCGCCTTCGTCTTATCCTCATAACACCTCTTTACACACGAGGGGCCCGAAAAGCTGTTCAGTCCCACCTCATAGGTCATATCATCCTTCCTCGCCGTCGGCGTCGTCGTGACCGTCGGCGCCGACGCGCTCACCGTTGTGGTCAGCGTCACCGGCCCGCCCACGGTGCTGAGGAGTGTCTGCGTGTTTGTAAAGTGTGTAGACACAGACACGGACACTGAAGTTGCTGTGGCCGTCGACACGTGGGTGGAGGTCATGGTGAAGTTGGCCGTGCTGGTCACCGTGGTGGTGGAAGTACGGTCCTCAATGGGCTCGGGGATGAAGCGTGGAGGGGCATAGCGTTCCGGTTCCCAGTTCTTGAACAGATCAGCGCCGCGGGGGATGTATGGGATGTCTGCACGGTGTTAAAAATGATCTAGAGAACTGGATGAGAGAAAGGGATTTGGGAAGGCTTACTTTTTGGGCTCAAAAGATTGACGCCTCGGGCTTTGCAGTGGTCCCATCCCCATTTGCCGGCGCGGTAGCTATTTGACAGTAGTCAGTATTAGGCCATATCTAGGAATGTCGAGAAGAGCGGGATTCCATACAACTGAGACGGTTTCTTGCACTATTCGGGCGTTAGCAGAATTCACCAATATATACGTATACAGTATACGAAGATCTTGAGAAAGTACTCACACTATCAATGACACACTCCGAAAAGCCCTTCAAGAAGAAGACATCATTGCAGAAACAATCCGCAACCTCCGGATCTCTGATAAAGTCCCGGACGTCGAAACGGTCATAGTACTTATCTGGGGTACACTATTCACACTTATCATCAGCATCCGAATTCAACCAATAAAAAAAAGAAAAGGGACTACAAACATGCGGCAGATCAGACCGGTCCATACGATAGATACAATCTACCATACAATGCGGAATGTCCTGGAAATGGTACGGAGCTAGCCTCTTGCCTCCTTCTCCCCACGCTTCTCTTCCTCCCCGCCTGTGGTCGTGGGCCGCCAGGGCCACCGAGAACAGGGCAAACTGTGATATAGCTTGAATGAGAGTATCACGCTTCATACTGCCGGTATAATAAAAAAAACTGAAAAGAAAGAAAAAAGTAAGAGCAAAGATATAAAAATGAGTGTGTAAAGAAACGAAACGAAAACCCCCCAAAACGAAAAGAAGAATCAAATGAGTGACAGAGTTGAGTTTCCCAGAACCAACCGACAATACCTGAGGGCAGAGAAGCGTAAAGTATGGGGCATTAGTTATATACACCGTCTCTCTACTTTTTTTCCGGTGATGTTGTTCTGAATTTGGATACCTTGTCCCTGGCCCAGGTACATAATTGCAAGTAGCTACACATTCATCATTCATCAATGCTGCGGATTGGCATCACCGCGACCCGGTAGATATTCGGCGGCGGAAACAGCTACGGATGCACCGTTTAAAAATCATCCTCGAATTTCTCGCCCCATTTCGTCTAAAGAGGTAAGCATCTCGGAGGATATAGAATATTCCTCTACAGTTTAATCCCCTCTACTTTGACATATGTGGCTTGGTATGGAGTGGCGCAGGCGCCCACGATCAACAGCATGTTTTTCTTTCGAGAATTGATTGTCGGATTGTAATTGTTTATCTCGCTGTACTAGTTATCGGTCGATCTGCTTTTTTTTCCCCTTCTGCTCGTGGAAACACCGGTGGATATGGCTGGGCACTTATTGTCGTGGTGGTGAGCTCGGTGAAGAACAGTGGTCGTCTATTTATAGATCTAGAGCACGAATGAAACGTTCGACGGCACATTCATCACGAGGCTGTCAGATGCCCAGCTTTAATTTGTGGGGGTTTGAAGTGAAAGCTTCCAAGTAAAAATCTCTTTTAATTTTTAAAAAAATAGATACAAGGATCGGCACTCGGTGTGCATATATCAATACAAAATAGTCGAAGAGGTGAAATATCTAGATCTGATCAAAAGGGCAACTTTCTAGATTACCCTGCAGGTACATATATACCAGGATACATAAAGTCGCCCTTAACAGTTACATCTCAACTTAAACTTCAAGTCATCCAAATACAACCCATTCGCCGCACCAAACCGCCCACCAGTCCTAAACGGCTGCGAGCCCACACTCAACACCAATTTCCCCAACTTCTGCCACGCCTTATCTCCCTTCGACGGCTGGAAGCTAAAAGGCTTATCCAGAGTATCCGGCGCATGCGCAGGCTTCTGAATCTTCGTCAACAGAGTGCCATCCGGCGCATATGTGGTTATGTTGAACTCCCTATTATCAATAGGGCAGAGGTAGTATCTGAAGCTGACGACGTCAAACTGCGGGCGTGGGCAAGCCTGAGTGGGTACCACGGTGATCTCCACTGTGGGTGCGGGGTACCGGACTTCGAAGCAGTTTGGAGACGAGGACGCACATGCAACTGCGCGGAGGTCATCTGGCGGCTGGATCGCGTTTTTATTGAGGAGTTGGAATAGTGAGCCCTGCCACCACGAAGGCACGGGAGGCTGGGTGAAGGTGAAGGGCGTGTTTGGATATGTCCAGGGGCTAGGGAGATCCTGGCGGCCGTTGGCTGCGGAATTTGCAATCTCGTCAAACTAAGGGAATGTTTTTAGCTTATGAGCCCATGATGTTTGATATCTGGAGGGTATTACTTACAGTCAAGAGAGTATCAGATGGCTGACAGTTTCCATAGCGTCCTTGGCCATACGAGAGGGCAAATAGGGAGAAAAGCGAGAGGACCGCTAGGGAACGATCTGAAATAGCAGAGAACCCCATGTTAAAATTTGATAGAGAATTGTATAAAGCAAAGAGACTCTTCGATGAATCCTTTGATGGTGCTATATTCCTGAATTCAGGCTTCAGAACACGGACCGAGGAGGCCAGATATAAAGGGTTCGAATTGTCAAAATCAAAACCTTACTTCGACACCCTACGAATGAAAACACCGACACGTTATCGTATTTCATACGCGTGATTGTTGTCTTTACTAAAATATTTCTTGGTCTATGATAGTTACTGGAACGATATCGACATGGATACGTAAAGGTTCCAGTGATAAATTTAGAAATATCTTTAATTCTCGCTACGTAGACCAATCGTTTCATCTGGAAATCCAGATATGGTTCTTGGAAATACTGTGGAGAGAAATAGGGGCCTCACGATACGAAGAGCACGTAAAAAAGCAATACAAAACAAAGATCTTGCTTTTGTACATATCACACTGTTGTACAAAGGGTTGGTACATAACCCTATTTTTAAATCGTGCACGCCAAGAAGCGGACTGAGCTCAAGTCATCGTATCTCACTCGACTATAGCGTCCTGTCCTTTGCTAATCGAAAAAACTTGCTCAGATCGCGGGCTTCATTAGGCGAGTCTTCATTCGCTCTCTAGAACTTTAAGCTTTGCGATATAATCCCACATCAACCCAACATCGACCAGGGTCAATCCAATTTCTCCGTCGGGTTGGCACTCTGGCATAATGCCAGTCTTTCCAGCAAGACTTACCTTGAGGAGATGATAGAAATCGACTGTGTTCGTACGTAGATTTTTCCTATGGCCGTTAAAGAGTCACTTCCCTTTCCTCGCGGGGGGGCTAAGAGAGTGGTTAGCACTAGAATTCCATCCACACCTTCTGCAGTGTTTAGTGCGATGGGAAAGTGCCAGCATTGACGGGCTAGATGTAGCAGATGATACGTATACAGGAAATACCATATACAGATTATGTAGTTGCATGGCTACATTTATTTGACTCCTTTTTTTTTTTTAATGTGCTGTAGTGACCTAGCCTCCATCAATACTCCTTCAAAGAACATCCATCGACCAGTGTGTAGATCTGAGTCGCAATGCCTTCACACTCTTCTCTTCCCGCAAATTCTTCCTCATCCGCTCTCACAAGAACAGGTGGTGACAGGCTTCTTGCAAAGATGTTTGCATCATCCCGTTTCGTGCCCTCAAACTCGCACGGGTACTTCTGGGACGTTGAAGAGGTCCGTCACCAGGAGCACTTACGTCGTGTTTCACATGCTCAGCATCTATATCGGCATCGCCACGACTCGGCCGAGGCAGCTAAATTGTATAGAAGCTTCATGGAGGAGCAAAACGAATGGATGGATGAGCAAGAGCGGATGAAGGAGATGGAGTTGAGGCTATCGGTGAAGGCTTATCAGCGACGAGCCTCCCGATGGGAAAATGAATGGAGAAGGCTTGAGGAGGGCGGGAACGTGGAAGAAATTCTGAAGGTATGCACCTGACACAATTTAAAATTCTAATTTCTGATGTTCCACCAATTATTCACCTTCGGTTCAAACCTTACATGTGCTAACCAAAAAAACTCTTATTAACCTAAATTTTAAAGTCCCGTCGGAAGTCTACTACTCTGTTGGTGACGGCTTCTTCGCAATATGGTTACCTGAGTTTTTCGAGTGAAGAAAATAGCACCCAAGGGTTATCGGATCTTGTCAGTCCACGCAGTATCAGTTCTCTTGATCTCCCCAGTCCGCTTCTCTCGTTTCCCTGTTCTTCGTACCTGGTTTACCCTGAGGATATAATACAGCAGATGGATGGGGCCCAACATAGCAGGGAAAAGAAACCACCAAGTACTCCTAGATTCTCTAATTCTGGCGTTTTAGATTTAATTAAAACCTCAATAAGAGATGCATACACCTTGGTACAGTCTCAAGAAATTAGAGATGAGCGCAACTCACAACCTGAGTCGTTAAAGTATAGAGATGGCCCTCAAAAGTCACTTAATCCTTATTCTGAAACGACATATAGCCCGAAAGACACACCAGCCTCTTCACAGTCCCGAATTGTGTCACCCGAGCCGAAGCCACAGCCAGCGGGGTGTTATACGAAGGACTTGAACTCGCGCAGCTCTGTTACGAGCCCAGGCTCTAGTAATTATAACTGGTCCCGATCAGTGGTACCCCACTCGAAATTAAAACAGGAGCAAACCCACAAGGAATCACTGGCTAATGGTGAAGTCCTCGGGATTATAAACCACAATTTTCGAGATAATGGAAATCTCCTTTACTTGATCTCTTGGAGATTGCGGAATTCAAGTATAACACCAGTGCAATCTTGGGTTAGAGTCGCGGATCTTTTTGAAGATCCTAGGAGATCGATTCTAGAAGAATATCATCGTCAACATAACCTAGGACCAATTCGTTGGCCACGAAATCCTCGAAGACAGTTGAGGTCTTCAACCAGCTTCGGGGTCCGGGAGATAAAAGCCGCTCTCGACGAACGTAAACTAGCGCTACTTGAACGCGGTGGCAGTATTATAGACGTTACACGCGAGCTAGACGGGGAGCGGTGGAAAATGCGAGATGATTGGCAACGTGCAGGAAGGGGTTGGGGATCTGCAATCATGGTTGTTGAAGAAAAGAAGAAGGCATGGAGAATTGCGGATTTGGAGGCCGAGGACAGCTCCGTTCGCAAAATAGGAGTCGCTCCAGTTAGAAGTCCTGGAATGGAATCTTCTGGTTATGAAGGCATGCTGAAAGCTGCTGGAATAATTGATGTTACTGACTCCAGATCACTAGAACTAAAAATATTAGATTCGAGTTCGTTAAATGGCATCTCGACATCTCCCCCTAAGATCCCGACTGCACCGCTTGAGCTGTTATTTGGCGGCGAAGTCTCTAGCCCGAAGTATCACAATGAACCTGAGCGGAAATACGACGATAAAACGACTCGGTTTATGAGCACCAGTGAGGATGAAAGAGAATGGAGGGAACACTTTGGCTTAGAGCCAGGATGCATTGAGCCAACCGTAAGTCTATATGTTCTGGGATTTCTGTAATTAAACATATAATAGTGGATTTAACACCGAATCAAGAATCTATCTACCAGCACTCAGAGCGCTCGAGAAATCGGAATCTCGAGAGTGAGATCTACACTTCGCACTTTGCCGAACACTCTGAACCTTAACCTTGCGCGGGCAAAAACACTGCCAGAAATAGGTAAAGGGGCGGAAAGTCTCCAGGTTTTGGATTATGAGTGTCAAGGACCAACGAATACAATTCGCTCTTCGAGTTCATGCCCAAATCAGTCTTCGGCATCAGAATCTCAAACCTATTTAAAGGCACAACGGAAATCCCTGCTTTCACGCATATTATCTCGCAGGCAGATAGAAAGAGAAAATCGTAAGCAAGCTGCTCGTCACAACCTTGATGTCCAGACACGGGGGAGAGCTCATGAATCACTGGCATTTCTTAAAACCAATACAGAGCCTTTGAGTTTATCTAGGAGCTGTGTACAAGCAAACCAGTCCAATCGTTGCGCACTACCCAGCCCGTCTTCATATTCTTCATTCGAAGTTGTTACGCCTAAGAAGAAGGCAGAGACAAAAAAGGGCTGGAAAGAAGTTATGTGGGATAAGTTATATTATTTGCTGGCTCCTTCGAGCCAAAACCCTACTTCCCCGGGGAAAAGCGCCAGAAGGACAGTGAATGACGATAGAAGAGCACCAGAGAAACCATTGTCACCAACCAATGAGAGAAAAGGCAAAACAGGTGACCCAGGATTTCAAAATGATGTTTCTGAGAATTCATGTCGGTATCGAGGTGTTGAAAGCAGATCTCCAAATATTGGGATAAGCCTTTCAAGATCTATGTTAGCTGAAACCATCACGAAAAGGACCGAGTCTTGGGCAGCTAGCATATTGCCTCCTTTACGCAAGAGCAAATCCGAGGAGCCTGGAAGGCTGAGGTCGTACTCTGAGGCGCTAGGAGCTATCTCTCTAAGAAACGATACAGAAGAATCCAGTATCAATCAAGCTCCATTGCAGATCCACATTAGAGAAGAAGAAGCCGCCCCAAGTGATTCATACCATAATGCAACCCTCAAAGAGACTGGAAAGTTCAAGGGCAAAGGGAGGCTAGAGCCTAATGAAAGTCCCAGATTTGTGCGGTCTATAAACCTTACCAGAACCCTGTCGCAGGAAAAATATCTAGCGGAAAGGCAAGCAGAAAGGCAATTTCAGCGCGATAAAGAACTTTTGAAAATCAAAACTAAGATGAGAATGCGGAAGGAAAAAGCCGATCAACGCGCCAGTGACCTTAAAAGGCTTAATGAGCTGCGCGCGAAAAGAGCATTTCCGTTTAGCAAGTGGAAAAAGACTAACCAATTAGAGCTGGATTTGTTGACAAAAAAGCTTGGTGTGGGAGTTGATAGACTACCTGCGAAGGGAGTGTTGAAGAATACTACAGTGGCAGACATAAAGAGAAGGTCAGTTATGCCATCAACTGCGGGAGTCAGAAACCAACCAAAAGGGCGCTTCCCGATTTGATTTTTCATCCACGCAGTGCTTCGATAATCTTTTTTTTTGAAGACGGTCTCCAAAAACAATACTCTAATTGAGGGAGAGGGTGATCAATAGTGTAGGTATAGATGTGGGAATTCGGAAGAGTACACCATTAAGAGAATAAAAGAACGCAGCACTTTGTAACTGATAAAGCACTGTTTATTATTGCAAAGTATGAGTTTAAAATCAATGAAACCATTGGTTATCTTACTGTTTTTAGGCTTACCGGCGACGACAAATATCAGGCTCAAAGATCCGTGACCAGATACCAGAATTTATGCCACCTTCTCTCTACTAATGCCACCTTTCTATTACACATCTCGTCTAGACCAAGTGAATATTACTAGATCATCTGCATGTATTTGATAGCTATCATGACATGAGGCACAACGTGTAGGATTCCACTTAATCCAACCCTTATGGGCACTATGGGGCAGGCTAGCCGAATATATAGGCGTTGAAACACGTTACAACAGTTAGGTACGTAGTTGTAACCCGTTAAACATATGTGTTGGCTTCAAGACCTACATGTATGTAAATCCTCTATCTCTTTCAAAACATGATTCTAACGCGTCGTGCAGTGTTTACTTCGCACCAGCTTTCCCTTCTGAAAGTTTGGTACGTAGAGATTATTCGCCCTCCAGAAGTGAGTTGCAAAGTCTGTATATATTCGAAGTGATAGTTTGCATGTAATTAGAGTTAATAAATACGGAAAAGGTCTAAAATGACACAGTTTTCGGTAGACGTGCTCTACAATAACACATGACACAGTTCAAAACGAATACATCAATTAGTATACGTATTGGCTGAGAATTGATATGAGTAATATCGAAAGTCGGGTTCAAGTTCGATCCCCACCTTGGCACATTGCCAAGCTAACTCAAGTATCACCTCGGGCACAGCATCCACTATGGGCGGGTGGTCTAGTGGATAGACTGCTCGTCGACACCGAGAGTACCCAGGATACAACCAATCACACATAAGGTCCTGGGTTCAAACCAGGGGTGGGGGGTAGCAGTCGCAAACGTCTTAATAAGTCGCTGCAGTACCTTTTTGTAGTTTTGTACCTTTTGTAGTTTGATAGAATGCTTTGTTCTTTTTTCTTCTCCTTTTTCACTTGTAGTGACAGCGAACTGTGTCTTTTTGCATCATGTGTTATTTCGGAGCACGTATACCGAAAACTGTGTCATTTTAGGCCTTTTCCGTAATAAATAATGTGCTAGTTAGCGTGTGTGCGAAATAGTGGGTATAATTGAGAAATACTACTAGTAGTATGACAGAAAAGAGAAATATATTTATATCTGGCATGAATGCGAAAATAATAGTTACATGTTTTTTCTGAATGTACTTTTTGAAAGTGACATACATGTTAATCTTGCATACAGGATTACATGCGACAAGCGGTAGTGTTTCGGTATAAGTAGTCGTGCCGCATCTATTGCGATGATTGCATTTATAATAATACCGTAGGAATGCTGCAGCATTACCGCACGGCTCAGTGGAGCGGGAACGGTAGTTTTGCAGCATTTCTACGGTATTGTTATGAATACCGCATTTGAAAAACCCGGTATTTCTCCCACAATACCGATTGTAAACTATGCCGCATTGTTACAACTGCTGTATTATGACCGCATATGATTACGGTAGCACTGCTGTAGGACTGCGGTATGAAATATACCCCTATTTTTGGTGCTGTAGCTATAAGCTAAGCTGCGGTGGCCCGTTTCATCTCAATCATCATTCCTCACCTTTTATCTTTCATCATCCAAGGAACCGAGCAAATGGGCTAGAGCAATCCTCTCGGGACCGATTACCCCCACAATCTCGTTCTCCAACCGACTCCCAAAGAGACCGAGTGATATTCCATGCATAACGTCGTTATCATTAAGCCAAGCATCTAGATCTAACCAAAAACTCTCCCTCTCTAAAAAATGCTCAAATAATATATCTAAATCCGGCTGCCCTCACATCCTCGCCCTGCCCAACTGCCGCCCCTTCTTCATCCTCCCGCTCCTCCGCCATCTCCAACTTCGCGTTCTCTCTCTTCAAACAGAATCTGACCGCGAGCGCCATCGCCGCACAAGCCAGGCAGACACCCGCCGTCGCACTCCCGCCTGCAAGATACCTTGGACTATCCGTCGACGGGTACATATACCTACATCCCACCCCATCATCAGCAATCACTCGCACCACATGCACAGCAGGGGGGGAAAAAGCTACTCACGGTCCATAGATTGATGCGACGTTCCCGAGCATATTAACCGAGGCCATACACACCGCCCTCTTCCGCGCCGGCCTTGGAAAGCTGTTCGCCACCCACGCCAGAATCACCTGAAAGGCCGGCAGCGCCCCCATGGGCATCAAGAACATTGCAAAGAACCTTGCCCCTGTGTTTGTCGTCGATGTCACAATCACATTCCCCACGCATGCCACCATCATAGGGATCACAATGTGCCATGTGCGCTCGTTTGTTCTCGAAGCATGAATGGTGACGGCGAGGGAGACGCAGAATGTAGCGAACCACACGGGCACCGTAAGCAGAAGCGTGGTGACGCGCGGGTATCCGAGCGTGTTGACGATGGTCGGGAAGAAGTAGGTGAAGGACTGGGAGAGGAGGTTACAGTGCTGCAGCAGAATGAACAGGTATAGGCGATAGTCGGTGAAGCTGAGTTTGATGGCCTGCCAGATTGGGAGGCCGTCGGCGTGGTCGGCTTCGCCGGTGTCGGAGATAAGGCGCCATTGTGCGTAGTTCCGCTCGTCGGGGGTGAGCCATTTGGTGGTGGCCGGGTAGTCGGGGAGGAGGAAGCTGCGGGATTATTATCGTCAGTATAGTCAGCATTGAAGGTGGCCGGGCGTCTACATACATGGAGGCTATTGCGATCCCGATTGTGATGACGCCCTCTATGATGAACAACCACCGCCATCCTGAGATTCCGTGAGCACCCTCTAGATTTCCTAATACTCCCGCTGCAAGGAGTCCGCCAAACATGTTTGCTAACGCGGACCCAGCATAGAAGAATGCGTATCGATGTGCCAATTCATCTCTTTTGTACCAACTCGACATCAGGAACAGCGCACCTGGGAAAAATGGCGCCTCGACAACTCCTATGCCATTTAGAATTGGTTAGATGTTTGAACGATTGGCTAACCGTCTGGCTTCAGATAGAATTAACCTAGAAAAAAGCGGGCAACCACAAGACCAGCGTAGCTGTGAGCACCAGCTTGAGCTGCGGAAATTGCGCCCCATACTGCCATTACAGTCCCGAGGTATATTGAGGGTCTGAGACGTGTGAGGAGAAGATTGGAGGGAAGTTGCATTAATATATAGCCCTATATATTTACTGGGAGTTAATTTACGACCCGCTTCAATTACGATTTCGAAGACTACTAACGACGAACAGAACACTCGTAGCAGTGTTGAAATTAGTACCATCCATCCTCAGATCCTTCTCTAACGTCCCCAGTCTTGCCTGCGCCAGATTCCTTTGTAACAATTAACAATATGCCCCGCTCAACAACCCTCATAGTTAAACCCATTACTTACGTTCTATCCAGAAAGTTCAATAAATACATCAACACTAATATAGGAAGCAACCTAGTATCAACCTTTCTCAATAACTGCTTCGTCATATGGTCGTGCCACTCCGCATCTCTGGACGCAAAGGACTGATATAGCTGCGCATCGTGATCATTGAGGTTATTGATTCTCGATTCGAGGTGTTGGTGCGTTGTTGGGTCTTTGGCGTCCATCTTTGGCGACTATAACTCGTTATAATATTCTTCTAGATTCCGAGAGCCAGGTCGAGAGAGATCTCAGGGTGGTTTTAAGTATCCTTCGGTATTCGGTATATGGGGGATCTGCAATGCAGGCAAGGATTAGGCGGGATTAAGCGAGCCTCACGCTCGGTTCCTATCCCACCGACATCCCGAATGCTGGGAGAGTCAGCCACAGTCGATCTAATAATTGGTCGATGGGCTTTGCGGGGTATAAATCTACGGACTATGGACCGGCGTGTTGGTTAATTGCTTGTTCGACGTCACTTGACTACCTACTACTACTACATGCTAGTTTCACGTATCGCATGTAGTTGGTATAATAGTAGAGTAGCCACAGTACTCTAGCGGCCGGATTGAAGCCGCTCAGACAAAAAAAGATAATTGATCTGAATACTGCAAAACCGTGGGCTCTTGTTGGCTGCCAGATCACTCGCCACAGTTCTTCGAGTGGCTTCAAACCGGCCGCGCGAGTAGGTACCCTTTACATGCATACCAATTCTCCACTCTTCTTCAACAGTACCAACAGCACATGGCGGAGATCACCGTTAAATTCACACTTGCTGTCATACACATCATATCAACGGTATCCATCAACGGCAGTACATAAAGTAGCCCAACTAAAGTTGGTAGCCGAACATCAAGTGACGATCCCAATCCTCTCACTTTAACCGGCTGGTGCGGAGACAACACCGATCATGTGGGGAGAGTATGCCAAATTAAACAAGAATTGAAGACTTTTGTGGGGTACAAGACAAGTTAGCTGCAGGGGTCCTAGGACCTTTTTTTTCTTTCTTTTACTTTAGATGGAACTTCACAAGGGGATCGGGGGGTTTGTTTCCAGCCATTGAGAATCATGGATTTCGCGGGAAGCTGGCACGGTGGACTATCGGTTATTCTTGGAGCCAATTATATCTAGAGGAAAGGGGATTACAGGAGAGAGATGTCGAGTAGTACTGCGCGCTTAGACACGAGTACGGTACATGTATCTATCCGCACTGGGTGTCATAACGAAAGCACACGCATTCTCACAGTGCCACAAAACGATCTAAAACAGTGACTCTCATCGTAGAGCTTGACGATCGCAGAAGATGCTTGCGATGAGGTGGGCATACGCTAGTGATTTTCCTAGCAATGATTGGATATCACGGTTTTACATATTCGAGTGATGAGTTGTGATCTTGATTGGGCCAATGATAAACACTTCATACTTCAAAGTTAAATGTTCAATCGTTCCATTAAGTCATCAAATACATCTCGAAATCCTCATAATCCAAAAAAATGGCCCCCATAAACCTTAGATAGTGTACGTAAAGTCCTCGTGTCCTTCAAGGGGCCTTGTCAGCGTCCCTTCCCTGTGCTGCTTGTTCTTCCTCTTGAAGTACAGCGTGAAAATCCCCAAAAACAAAATGGTGGAGAGCTGGCACGCCATGGTTGCCCACAGCCCGTTAAGGTACCGTGGCAGATCCTTCTCTCTGAACACCGTGCTGGCATAGATACCCCCAACGCCTCCGAACCCAATCTGGAGCGCGGACCCAACACTTCTCTTTGAGTTTGTTCTGATGTTATTGGCTTGGTACGTGAGCACGGCTGGAATGTTTGATTGAGCCCCCGCCATACCGATAAAGATTCCGAGGTAGCGGACTCCGTTGTTTTTGTGGTAGGCGGTCATGGAAAGGCCGACAACGACCAGGACATTTCCTATAACGATGAAGGGCGCACGAAGACGGGTCTTGTCAGAGAGCCAGGCGAGCACTAGGGCAACGGCGACGGCAGAGAGGTATGGTGGGGCGGAGAGGATTTGGGCCATTCCCGCAGTGTAGCCCATTCCGATCTGGAGGATGATGGGCATGAAGAACGGGAAAGCGTATGCAGCAACAGTGGCATTCATGAAGAGAATAGAGCTGTAATTTGCGGTTAGAACGGAGGAATACCGGAATATAAAGGATATTAAAGACACATACTAGAGCCATAGTTTCCAGTCTGATAGATGTAACCCGACTTTTGCCCACGTCAGAGGATCTGCTTCCGAGTCGTCACGATCACGGTCAATTCGGGCTTTTACGAGCTCCACATCTCGGGGTGTCAAGAATGGCTTTCGGTGCTGGAGGAGCTTGTCTGGGAAATCAATGATAAAGACGTAGGCGCAGGCCGCACACACGCATGTGATTATACCCTCCTATTATTTGGTTAGTACGACTAAACTGTGATCGCAGGGAAATGGGGAGGGAGGTACAATGATGAAAATCCATCGCCAGCCGCCAAGGCCACCCAGTCCATCCATCTGCATCAACCCATATGCTAAGATTGACGAGAAACCTCCGATCATTGAGGAGATGAGGTAGAATGCGGCAAGTCTAATTTATTGTCAGTACTGTCTAAATTAATGTTTTATGTTGTGCGCGCATATGAGCGGGGTGTGCGTGATTACTTACCGCTTCTGCACCTCATACCTCACATACCACGACGAAATCAAATACACACATGCCGGGAAGAAGCCTTGCCATCCAATCAGTAACATTTTATCCAATCAAAACCAAATATTTCCCTACCTGCTTCAAACAACCCCAGAATCGCTCGACACACAACCAATACTCTCCAATCCTTCACAAACCCCATCCCGATCATGACACCGCCCCAAAGCATAACTATTGTGCCCAGCCATTTCGCGGCGCCGACACGACGGAGTACGATGTTGCTCGGAAGTTCAAAGAGGAGATACTACACAAGAAGCACAATGTCAGCCAACTACATGAGACGCACCGCAGTTAGCAGAAAAATACTTACGGGAATGAAGAAGATCAGCAATGCGATTGAGTAACGATCCCCGATTTTCAGTTCCAGCTCGTCCCTCATGCCAGCTACTGCAGCGTTCGACATGTTTGTACGGTCTATCAAAGAGACCGAATACAAGATACCTAGGATAGGCAGAAGGCGGATATCAATCTTTCGCCTGTAATTGCTTCATGTTAGAGCCGTCATTGAGAGTAGGGTGGTAAAAACCAACATCATCTTCTTCTCATACGCAAGGTCGACTCCGCTCTCAAGATGCTCGGAGTGACCCTTGCTGGCGTCATCAACGGCATCGTCAACGGCGTAGACCTCTTTGTTCTGGTTGGCCGACATTGTGGTAATGTTGGTTTGATGTCGGAATCTGGAGGAGGGAGAGAGGGACAGGACTCCCGGAGACTATATACTAAACCCCAGTTTCCATCTCTGAAGGCAAAATACCCACCCACATGCCAGAAGAAGTAGGAGAAACATGTAAAATCTGGGGTGTGCGGACCGCATGGATAGTTACTCTTGTTAACCCCACACTTGACTGGGGTACCTGTTCTCGGGCTGCATGCCAAGTATGTCGCCCAAGGTCCCCGTTCTCTTCAGGCGGAAATTCCCGTTAGAAGAACGTTATCTGTGGGTCTTGCATGATTGTTACTACAGAGATGTCTCTACCCATACATACATACTTGTTTATAGCTCGACGTTTTAAGCATAGACTAATTATACATACCTGTCCCATTTTTGTTCAGGTGACATCAAACCAGTAGAAGAACCAAATCAATGACTTCTGATATCTATCACGATAACCACCTGGTCTCTAATTCAATTGTGGCGATATTGGTGGATGGGGGCGGGTATTCATGCCTCGGTCCTCATATCAGTGTCGAACCGCAAACATGACTGCTGCTTAACTACTCCTACATATGCGGTTGAAGATCCTGCAAGGAGATCTTAATGGTTAGAAATTTAGTAGGTACAGGCGTTCCCAAGATGTTGGCTTTTGAATGGTCCAACCAAAGCTAGCTACTATCAAATGATACTATATACTCAAAGGCTTCTATAGGGGGCAAGACGACCTATCTAACTGCAACTATAAGCTTCAACTTATATTTCCTTGTTTTTAACCCAGTCTTATAGCTCCTAGGAACTCACAAGATCTCCGGGTTATACAGTTGGAAATCGCCAGGATACCTAGCCCATCAAACCCCCTTACCTGGTACATATGTATACTGCTGACCTCTGAGTACAGAACATTATGTAGTACTTTATTTAGAGATTTTCAAAACCCCCTCACGATTTCTCCGATTCACACGGACTAAGTGGTGCTGAACCAATCTAAAACCCACCAGCGACGGTGTCTTGGGTTGGGGGCCGGCTTGCACGGTGCTAATTTACCGAGCCCTAATGACCGGTTACCTAGATCTGGTGTCACACAATATATACATGTGTTTTACCTTTCAAACTAAGTCCAAACAGATTCCTTTTATCCCATTTCATGAATTCAGACTTAGATGGGACAGTATTTGTATAAGTATTAAAGCCACTTCACCAAATTTGGCGCTAGATAGCTCATGTTATCAAAAGAAAACCACTCTAGTGGGAGAATTTTCATTAAATCTGTCATGATGATGTTAAACCTTCAAATTCTTGAGGCTCTAAAGGAATCCATACTGGCCATGAAGGAGGTTGCCAGGGTAATGATTTCCCAACATGCATGTAGTGAGCACTCTAACCGCGCTAGTAACAACCGAGGCTCTAGTCCTACCCCATACCCCACAGTTTTAGACAAGCTTACTTCCCCATGTGGAGAAACTCGTTAGTGTGGGTTGCACAATTTTGCCCTACCAATGGAGCTCTCCGCCACGGAATTGGCAAACATGTATGCCTAATCGCCTAGAATTATCCCCCGCATCGTCGGACAACCGGCGACTAAGTTTTATCGAATAGTAGGAGACGGAATCCAGTGGTAGAGTAAGCAGCAACAGTTCAGAGAAATCGAGATGCTGGAATTCATATCCTAATCGATCAAGCATGGGAAAACCAACACTCTCAATTAACTACAGTACAAACTAGGTCAGATCCCACGAAGACAGCTAGGGGTAAAGGAACTTCCTCCCAAGAGCGAGATGTCACGATAAACATATCTACTCTACTACGTAGAGTAGGGATGCCAGAACCCCTCATGTGGCGTCTGTGAAGCGTTTAGGCCCCATTCTTGGGGGCTACCTATACCCATATTAGATTTTTCTTCACAGACCTTCCCAGCCTTCAAGGCCCAATCCTGGACGAAACCTGTAACCACAGACGTCAGCTCAGAGCTCAAGGTTTCCTGATTTAACCTTTTCAACCCTGCTCTAGGTCGCGTCAACAACTTCCACCGAGGCAAAGTCGAAAAAACCTCGGTACCGAGGAGCAAAAAACCTCGGCCGTCTCATGGGTGGGTACGTACTCATGCAGATGTTTCTTGGTATCACACCCTTATTTTACTTAGGTGTGTGAGGTTGTTTATCCTGGACCTCCTTCTTCTGCATGAACACGCCGCGCGACGACAGCTGCTGCGCTCACTGATTTTGTGAATTCGCAGTATCTACACGAATAATTATTGGAGTTCTTTATCTACGTGAAGTGGAAATACCTGCATCGATTTAAATTCCAACCTCGTTCCTAGGACTGTTTTTCTTGCTGTGTATATTCCCCCCAAACTGAGCGCAACTCCAATCAGAGAAAGAGTCAATGCCACCCAAAGAATCCCTAAACGTTCTGTACCTGACCATGAACTTGGCAGGGGATTATGCTCTCCACAGGTTCAAACGGAGGACTGCACACGCCTTTGCCGTTAGGTTCTGTGGGCTCACTCTAAAGCACGCAAGTCCGAATTGTGGAACCGCACCACGTGGGCGCATGCATTCTCCCATCTAGGTTTGTGGGGGCTACATGATCTTTGTGTCTTCTTTGCCATAAATATGACGTGTATATATACGTGTATACAGGGTAAATTCCAGAGGGAAATTAAGCTTAAATCTCAATAGACGCTAGCTACAATACTTGGGATAGACGCGTGCTTACACGTAGCTAGGATACAACCACCGGACCGCCTCCCCGCATAGCTTTAGCGTTCTCTGACACCTCTAAATTCCAGGACTTTTATAAGTGTTTGAAATTGACCATATAGATCAACGTCTCGTGTCCCGAGTGATAATTCATGATGAATACCATGTGTAAGATATTTTTCAAACACAAGCTAGCTGTCATATAATACATATCATGACATATGGTACAGGCAGTTCTTTCATAATTGAGCCCCCCCCCCCCAAAAAAAAAAACCCTAACCCAACCCCCGTGTTTGAATCTACTAACTCAGTTGACAAATTGACTAATCTTCTGTGGTTAAGCTCGCCCACCGGCGCAACCAAAGTTTAATTCTACGGAAAAGGTCTAAAATGACTCGCTTTCCGGTACGCTTGATGTAGAGCAACACATAATCCAAAATCACATACTTCTGCGGTCCAAAATGACACAGTTCAGAACTTCGGGCTCTTTTAGAAAGATCCGTTGAACTATAGCTATTGCTAAAATTCTAAACTAGAGGGCCTTTTAATTAAGCCATTAATAACCTATCAATACAAAATTCGACACTGTTAGGAGTACCCGTTAACGAACTAATTCTACTGGCAGAACAAATGAGAAAAGGCAAGACTCGGAATAACTAAGATATCCATCATATGATGTAGGTTGGACTTTATCTCGTGAAAGAAGATAAATTCTTCTAAAAGAGCCCGATGTTTTGAACTATGTCAATTTGGATCATAGAAATGTGTCATTTTGCATTATGTGTTGCTCTGCATCAAGTATACCAGAAAGTGTGTCATTTTAGATCTAGACCTTTTCCGTTAATTCTAACAAAACTTGATGAATGGTCCATCTCAATTACAGTGAGAGAAATGACATATCCAAAGGTACCGCTAGGCTTTCACATAAGTGTGTAGGGTGTCCTTATCGTATTCTGATCTGCACGTCGTCTCAACTGCAGCTTATTTTCATGGTGAGCTGCCTCGGGACCTAGAAACACACCCCAAACGAGGCCGAGGCATGTCGATGGATGCAGAGCCCCCACCTTGCCTTGAAGCCACTTTAAGACCTAGCTCGAGTCGAACATACGATTCGGTTGTCTGACACATCACCTATTTTCTTTCATTGGACGGACTTGCGAAATATATGTTTTCATGGTATCCCCGGCAAGGCATTAAGCTTTGAACCAATCTGTTGGGAAGACTTACATGTACTCGTGGACGAAATTCCACAGAAGTGGGGTAGTTTAATGGAATTTTATGCTCTTGAAGGTGGTGATGGCCGGACTGTCCAAAGAATCCTGGCAGCGCAGCCCCTCTCTTTCCATGATCCAGCCAATAGCGAATAGTACTACGCGGTGGGTGGCGATAGTACTGTGGTGATTGAATTTTAATTTTTCTGCTTTGTCGGCTGCAGCCCCGCTCCTATGGTCAGTGCACCCTTCACAAATATCCTGCATTCCCAATCATTGACATAAGTTTGAGCTCTTTAAGCTAAGTATTTTCAAATTTTGCGTAAGTCATATATCTCATAAGACAATAATCTCACGAGGCAGCAGTTTTCCTCGTGTAGAAGGCCTTAAGCTTCCTCGCCCCCTCCCCCCCCAACCCAAAAAAAAAAAACCCCCCCAACCCAAACAATAGATATTAGGCGCAAGAAGCAGGACTAAAAATAATCAACATAACAGGAAATCCGGCTGTATCACCTTTTATTCACTCTCTCAGAGGTCTTCTTAGAGTCCGAAGGTCCCATGCCCTTATCTAATTTTCTTTGTCTAAAAATTCCACATAATCTATATAACCTCTAGGTCTATCCCCAAAAAAAACTTCTATCGCCCATGGCCATGGCCCCATACAATCCCAAACTCAGGCTATCGAAACACCCCCCACTAAACCACTCCGGCCTTTCCCACCGCCCCCACAGCGCCCCCTTTCCCAAAGAAATCCCGGGGGATGTTATGAATCAAATTCCCCTTACTCTTCGTCCTAAACTTCCCTGTCTCCCTAGCAGGCACAACTAGTGTCGGCGTAGCAATGTCACCGTAATCATAAGTCGTTAATGCTGTAATCTGGACATTAACCGGTGTCAAACGTCGTGGTGGGACAAACATTGGGTTTGAAAGGTAGGTTTCCGTCGGCGCTGTCGTTATTCTTTCGGTGGTGGTTACGGCAGTGGTTATGATGCGCTTTTGTATTACACGGGTGGCTTTTCTTGTTATAGCACTAGAATTAAGATGTTAACAAATACCTTACCGTTATCATTATCCTTACTGGTAAGCTGGTAATTAAAAATAAACGATGCTGGCACTACGCGTAATAAACACAATACTATCAAAGCACCGTTCACAATATCACAATGGCAGTATATCAAACATAACTCTACCAGGACCATCATCATAACAACCACTCAACCAAATATCATACAATTTACATAACGCCCATCTCTAAAACAGCAAGTAAAACAAAAAACAAGACTGTTACTCACGCTTTAACCTCTCTCTTTGCCTTATCCTTGTAATCCTTACAAGCTTTCTCAATAGCATCTGGATAGTATCCCTTCAAGTCATCTGGAATAGTGACCGTATTGATCTTATAATCGACATCTTCATGCCCGTTGCTATAAGATGAGCTATAGCTGATATCATCGCCGTCACCATCACCTTCGTTGTCGTTATTGTTAATGTTGGTGTTCACGTTTTGGCGAGCGAAGAGTTGCGCTATGTGATTTGTTAATTGGATGAGCTGAGGACGAGTTAGCTGGGAACATACCAGCGATATCTAGATCTCTTTTTGAGACGTTGTTGCTTAATAAGCTATTACAAAAATCTAATAATCCAAGTCTTAGCGCTCCAAAATTATCAGTCCGTAGTAAACTCGGTGGATGATCTGACCTCCAAGATTCTTATCTTTGATTACACCCAATGCCTTCGTCTCATCGTCGGAAAGCTCTTGCCTGGCCTCGAGAGGCGATCCTGTATTGATTCTTGCATTAGCCACCACGAGACTGCTGAGATAGGAAACCGTTATAACACTCACCACTCACAGTCAACCCCACCGCCCCAATAATTGTCAATAAATATGTAGCGTGCATGATTCGATTCCTTGTTAAACAGAATTCTGTGAAATATTATGAGATAGGAGGAGAGTGTTGTGAATAAAAAAAAACGAAGGGATGGAGCCGGTATTTGAGTATAAAATCCACCACCCATGCTGACTTAGCATGCCTGACGGGGAGAACGCTTCCGCTGAAGCCGCTTGACGGCCAGGAGTTAATAACTAGGCTACAACCGCTTGCCGCTGAGATTCATTTTTCCAACTTCTGTTAATTCGATGGCCCTGGCCTAGAACGTGACGTAATTTGAGGTAATAACTACATGCAAATCCGTTGTCTCTCGAATACAATAACATTGAACCTGATGGAAGCCATCGAAGCGTTGGCCTCATACTGCCAGTCTAGAAGGGTGGAGAAGTTTATATGCTTTTGAAAACTAGACGTTGTTGGCCGGCTGTTGTGTTCAATCTCTGTTCTTCGACGACGATTCGAAATCACGTAGAATGAAAACAAAAACTTTCGACTGAGATAAACCGAGAGCCAATGATGTGTATTGATGATGATGAGAAAGGAAAGACAGTAGCTAGCTAGACATAGAGGCCGTTGCCCATACGGACACCTTTACACAAAGGGATTGTTCTGTACAGTTCTCTGACTAATGTATGACAAATCGTCCCCCAGCAAATATGCCCGACAACGTAAATACATGTAATTTTCTACCTAAATGTGCACAGTGGTGAGATTTGAGCAAGGAGCTTGTTAAAAGGTGAATGCGTCGTTAGGTGGATTGATTCAAGGGGCATAAGAGTCTCGCTAGATTATAGTCGCGAATAGGATAGGATAACATAGATGTTTTAGAATTTAGAACAGCTGTTCAAATACGGGCCCAACACCATTTGGATAAAGTCAAATATCACATTAACTAACAAATTGTACTAACCAAAATTAAGGAAAATTGGTCCCGATTTAGCCTTAGGCTCGGAAATCAGAGACTTTTTGCTTTATTTCCCTTCTAGTCTCTGCTCGTGGTTTGTCTCCAACAGAGCTGTAACATTCATGTCGAGTGCGATCTTGTGATGCAGCCCTCGGAATAAATAGAGTACATATGTACAGCGCTATGCCATAAATCATCGGAAGGTGTGAGGTCACAACGCCGCAACGCCTGACTGCAATGCCTGACCACAAATTTTTTCCACAACCACCGATGGCACCCAGAGACAGTGTACCCCGTGCTCCTACAACTATTAAGTTTGTAAAGGTATACACCACAACCCTTACAACTCAGCGGTTGGAGGAGTGTGGGGTAGATGTTCTGGAGGACTAGCTTGCCTATTCCCCTGACTTAAATCCCATTGAAAATGTTTGAGTACATCTCAAGAAGCTTTACCATCAACACTACCCCCATTTGGGATATGATACTAGATCACCTTAAGTATTGAAGCCCCTCATGGAGGAAGGTCTAATTCATTGCTGGGAACTGTTACCTGATGATTTATTCTCTAGAGATTTGGTAGCTAGTTGAGAGCATGCCTAGGAGAATAGAGCTGTTATAAAGGCAAGGGTTGGTATACAAGATATTAAATGTCCAATTATCTTTATTTAGCTACTATTGAACAACTATACAAAAAACAGCTCTCCAAAGGGTCAATTGTGGTTGCTGGGTGGGTAGTCATGATGGGGCGGGAGGTGTCGAAACCCGTTGCTACGCCGCCCCATACGATGATTTATGTCCTAGAACTAACGTTTTAGACCGGGTTCTGTGTCAGACATAGAAGAGTGTCAATCCCATACAAATTTGTATGGGGATTTCTGTTGCCAAAGCTATCTCCACCATCTCTTGAGATATTTACTGCCAGATTTTTAACAAATGAATTCCATTTAAAAGCACACGGATTAGGATGGTTTCCAGATGGATTATCCTCTATTATGGTGTTATGGGGTCTTCTTTCTTTTTGGGGGCTTTGTGTCTGGTTTTGGTGCCGTTGCCATGCGACACACTTCTAGGTCTGACACAGTACTGGGTCGAAAACGTTATACATATTACAAAATCCTTGTGTCTCGCTTACCCCCCGTAAATATAATCAAAATCTGTCGTGTTGTGGGACAACAAAAGCTAGAACTCAAAACAAATCGGATAGCTTCAAAGTGACAGTTAAATTAAATAATTTCAGCGGTCTCTCGACCACTATCAGGACCGACAGATGAGTCAGCGATTTCAATACATATAGTTAGAAAGGTATTACAGCAGTTTTCGCATTGTCTGTCCGCACTGGATTACACACACGTAAGGTAATTCCCGAGTTAGGAAACCGTAATTACTCTCTTAGGTATGGGTATATGTGATCTAGCTGTTACTAGTAATAAGCATTGCCTAAATGAGCCGTCACTTAATGTTTATGTGATCCGGAGTCGGCAGACAATATGAAAACAGCTATAATTACCATTCTACCCCCACTAATTATACACAATGATAACAATGACACTTTTTCATGCACATACAATATTCGTTCGAGCGATAGCTACAGGTAACTGTAAATCATGCTACAATTAAATTGCAGCACACGTACTCTGGAGCTCACTTACTCTCGTCCATTCATTCCAATCCTCCTGCAATCGTACAGTCCCGAGCATCCGCACCAGAACCCACAAAGCAAAGGCGCGCGCTGAGAATCATAGAATCGCACTCGAGACACACCGCCCCACACACCCCACATCCCACACCCCACACCCGTAAAAGCTTGTTCTCACTAATCACTAACTAGAGAGTCTTGGCCTGTGATCATCCAATTCGAAACTCAACCGGGCCTCAACGGTTTGATTCAAAACAGATTTCAAAGAAAGCTTAGGATGGGTGATGATTTGAGAGACGGATGATAGATTCAACAGCACAACAAGACATACAAGCACACAAAGTCAAAGAAAGTGTATAGTTAACGTACTCGAATCCGCAAAAGCAAAATAAAACAGTTTAGTATAACAATGAAATATAAAATGAATGGTATAAAAATGAATAAATAAAAAAACACCCTCCCACAACACAGTTTAAAATGCTCGTCTTAACGTTATCATACCCCGCCATGCAGTAGTTTTTTCATGATATAAGAAATTAAAAAGGAACGTCGCCCGCCTGTTGTAATAAAAAATGAAAATGCTGTGATGAGATGAGAAATATCAGCAGGTATAAGTACAATCACAATTTAGGTCGTCCTTCTGCGCCAGTTGGAAGCTCCTCTCCAAAGACAACCAGGCAGTCGTCCCCTGTTCTGTCCTCCACTCGTCGTTCTTCCTCTTCATTTCCTCTATCATCATCCCAACCCCAGATGCCGCCCCTTTCTAGGATCCATCGCTTCGCCAGGTCCGTTGCAACACGGTCTCCGTCACGCCTGGCATCCATAATCAGAAGGACACCACAGATAACCCAGCCGAGTCTCCAGAGAACAGCCCTTCCAGAACGGGTAAGTTCCTCCTTACTCCTTGTGTCAAGAATGCTCTCAAATTCTTTCCATTCTTTCCATAGAACAACCTTGCATCTTTCTAGGATCTCTCCGGCCTCTCCAGCTCTTCCGCCGCGCCCCAGGTTCTCCTCCACGAATTCATTAATAACCTCCCATGATCTTCCTTCCCCTCCTGCTCTACTTGTTCGTTTCAAGACGCTAATTAGATCTGTGATGAGGACGTTTGTTGTGCCTTCCCAGATGGACAAAACCTGTGTGTCCCGTAGTAGACGGGCAATGTTCATGGGCTCTTCAGTCTCATTGGGTCCAATTCCGCCCAGGCTTTCAACGGACTCCGACAAAGTAATCATGGCCAACCTTGCAGTGAGAGCCTTTGTCATTGGTGTCAGTATGCGGAAAAGCTGGATCGCCGAGGCCGACGAAGGTACATATAAGTATCCTGAGGAATTGATGGAGGTGGGTGAAGCGGAGTCTTCAATGACCGAAAGAAGGTGGACAGTGAGGAAGGTCAAGTGCGTTGAAGCCCTATGCAGTAGCTCCAGGCCAGCTAACGTCCGCAAATGCAGAGGCATCGTCCAGAGCGGCCTGTTTTTCGCGACAACACGGGCCTTGGCGTATGCCTATTTCCATCAGTACTGTACTCTTGTCGCGGTAAGGTTCAAGGTTACAATAACATACCTTCGCAATTGCCAAACCCCTCCTCATGAAGCTCACCGCTGTAACAGAGTTGTGGATTCTGCTAACGTTTAATACAGTACTTATTTCCCTGATACCGTCGCCCTCTGCTCCGATCAGCCATGCCCGCATTCCATTCAATTCCAACTCGGCAGTAGGCAATGCCATTGTTCCGGTGCTCTTCTTCAACCTCACAACCTTGATTCCGTTCCTGTCACCATTGGGCAACCTTGTTGGCGCATAAAAGGCACTTAGCCCGCTTGCTGTCCTCGCAAGTAGGATAGTCATGTCGGCATCTGTTGCCGAGGTGATGTACTTGTAGCCATCGATAATCCAGGGTCCCAGCTCATCAACGTCATCAAAATTTGTAGGCTCCGCAAGAGGGGAGTAGACTGCTATCGTCTCTCTACGGCCAACCTCTGATCCTGGTGGACGCTCAGTCATCCATTGGCCGCTTGTCCACCTCGTCGATTGATCACGCGAGATCAGGCGAAAGTGGGCATTCGCAAAGACTTTACCCTGGGTTGAAGACGGTGCTTTCGGGATTTGCTGTGCCAGCAGACGGGCGGCACCGTCGGTCATGGCAAATGGGCATGTTGTAATCGCGGATGATGGAGACAGAATGTAGTACCTACGATTGTTAAACTCCGGGATAGTTTTAAGGGGGGACGGAAGACACATACTTTGCAAACTGTCCAATCCTTCCATATCTCCCTTCATAACCTTCGGCTACAATTCCCTCGTGAGCGCCAAGCTCTGACAGTTTTCGCCAGCCTACGGATGTCCGAAGATTTTCGTTTCGGTTGGCGAACGCGTCATGTGATTCGAGTGTTGGCGGATTTGTCTCGGCATCGCGAAGCCAGGTCAGAACCTTTGGCGAAAGGGCTGTTGAGGCAAGTGAATCAAGTTCTTTGTGGAGAGGCTTTAGGAGCACGGGTGAGAGATATACTTGTTGACAAATTTGTTAGCTGGTTGAACGAACGCCGTGCATGTGAAGAAAAAAGGGGGGAAGCGTACGAGAAAGAATCCGTTGGATAGCGACATCATCTTTGAATTGGTTCTTGAGCCTTGGTGTTTCTTGGAAGTATCCAGTGTCAACGGACGAAGCCTTTGAACTCGGTGCCTTTGGGCGGGTGGGCTGGTGGTGCTGGCTTTGATTTCTTGACCCTGATGTGGTAGAAGACATGATTTTCAAAGACTGGTAGTATAGATTCTTAGAGGGTGGGTGTTTGTTGGGGAAAAAAACAACGGACAGGACAAACAACTGGGAAGAAATATGAAGGGGAAGAGGAAGAAGAAGAAGGGCAAAAAGCAAGGTCGCGTGAAGAGTTTCCTGGTGTCTCAACAACCACCAGTCTTCTTACTCAATCAATCACTCAATCACTCACTCTAAATATCGCTAGATCATATTATCACCAATACCTGGTCTCACGTTATCTAAGTTACGTGCACTCCACCCTGCCTCCACGTCGAAAAACAGAGACTGTATGCGTGCAGCGTGTCTCTTTACAGGACCCGGACGGTAGGGGCCCCGGCAGACTGGGTGAACACCGTTCGTTGGACTACATGCTACTGACTGTTGCTGTTGGTGACAATCAGTGCGTGGTTAGCGGGTGTGTTGCCGCTTCGTGGCTCCACTCAAATTGTTTCATTTGTGGGGGAGGCTGAGATTCCCGCCCTCCAGTAAGCGAGACATCGGCATTCGGGAACGCGCAGATGTAAAGCTGTACATTTCGGACCCTGAATAGAGAAGAGGAGCAGCAGCAGCAGGTATCAGAACACCCAAATGTGCCTAGCTGTGGGCAGAGAAGGTAGGTGGAACACCTATGGCAGGTGGAGTAGAGTTAGAGAGTACTCTGCCTACAGTTCAGAGTGGGTAAAGCTGCTGCCCGCCGTGCTGCATTGGAACTTGATAGGTACCTCCTACATGATACCATACATACGGCTTTGCAAAGCTGAGAAAACTGTTGGCCAACTGGGTAGGTATATCCTGTGCAGTCCAAACGCAGGAACCCTGGTCCAATTGAACTGAGATGGATGGTTTCTGGCGGAACAACGGCGCCACGGCAACCTAGGCCCGCGAGAATTGGCTGCCTACGGTGAATTATGCCCAAAATGTTTTGACCTCGAGAAATGAGGAGTTTTCCAATTAAACAAAAATTAATATGTATAAGCCATGGAAAGGCACGTCCCTCGGCGTCGTGGTATCACAGTCAGAGAGCACCTGTGTAACTACTTCTTGAGCTGAACTGAGTCTGCAGCAAACACCAGAAAATTGATTCCAAAACAAAAAATGCTCGTGCATGGTCATCTTGTGGAGATAAGTTGGTTTGGACTCGAATAGTAGTTAAACTAGCAGCAAAGATGACCTGTCAACCACCACCACCAGTGCACCACCACCAACAGGAATACTCTACTTCCTCCCGGTTTTCGGCATGCCCCGACTCATCCGTTTTCTCAACTGATCAAAAAGCATTTATGTAGGCATCTTCCTTCGATGTGATCTGAAAATCACTTGCCAGTTGTTCCTCAGAGTGCAATATAAACAGGATATTTCGATCATGATCTTTCCTCCTGGGTCTTAGAATTGACAGCGTCCATGTAGGGGCGCGGCACATTCGAACACTCGAGGTAGTTCTACCCGGCTGAAGAAGATCCAACGCTTTGATACTCGCTCGCGATGGCGGAGCTTTTTGGCGCACAACCCAGTGTGTTCTGGCCGTTTGAGAGGGGAAGGATCCTCGAAAGAAGGATTGTTGTGGTTCTAGAATGGTGCGCCGTAGGCAAGGAAGCTCGGTGTCATGTGATACCGTGCTCCCTTGAAGCTACATACGCGCTCCTTGCTCCTTGCTCCTTGCTCCTACAACGTGACGCGACGTGACATAAATTACGAGAAACGCAGTGATTTGTGTCTGCGTTTCTTAACCCCTTCTAGATGGAGTTTAAATAAAGCACCCCTCTTCAAGAGATATATACAGGACGGGTTGGAATTAGTGGAAATGAAAATATTGTTATCTCAGCTGAAGTATCAGAGCTTTTCTAACTTCCATATAATTCCAAGGTTAACCAGTATGCAGCATTTCGAGGTACGTTTCCAAGCTAAAGGGCCGTAGCGTACTCTAGTAGCACATTGTGCAAACGGAAATTAGTATTCCAAAGTTGGATATGCTGCCAAAACTCGAAAAATTGGCTAGATAGTGCCTGATCAAAGTTACTTCTATGGGAAAATTCTGATGGAGATCGATCTCATTCAGCCAATCGTTGGAAAGATAATCCTTGGTCAGAGATAGCCAATTCTTCGAGCTTCTGCGGTATCTGAAATGCACTCTTTATACCTGAGACACGAGGATCAGGAAAAAGAAAGGTTTTCCTTTGGAAAGCCTAATGCGAGTGATAATTCATGACATATGCGTGAATTGGATCACTCTTTCATCAACATACCGTCAGAACATATCCAATCACCAAATTCTTCCTCAATTTTTTATTCTGCTCTGCCTGCCCTACACCCACCTACCATCAACGTTAAGGAGACACAGTCACGGCAATTAGCGAATACCGAGCGAGAGACGGTTCACATTCTGCACCACGCGCAATTGAGGATATGTAACTAGTTCCCGGTGAAACGGTCAGGCGACCGCCACTAAGACGGCAGAAAAGTACCTCCGGTTCCATGCATAAGGATGGATGGGGTTGGGATGACGAGAGGCAGCAACAGCAAGACAAGTCGTGCGTAAGATGATCCGAAATAGTCGATAATGATTGCTCGAGCTCTGCCGCACCGGACACGGCGGCTGTAGATCAAAGAACTGAGGATGATACACTAGCGTATAACGGGGATCGTGGGGTCTGTATGGCTCGAGACGTGGAGCTCTCTCTGGTCTGTCCGTGGCGGAGTTATCCACCCATATTTTGGGACCAGTGAAGTTTATTGGTGGTTTTGGTATACACCACATCCACAACACTGCCGGGCCAAGGTGGGTGAAGAAGCGAAGCTCACACGTAGTAAATAGTGTCTGGGAAATGTAAGACACTCGGATCGTAATCGGGTATTAGCGCAATTATAGTAAAATCCGAGAACTTGAAATGGGCCAATTGCAGGTAAAATTTCCTCCTCAATGCTTTATCGAATAAAAGGCTTCTTCAATTTCGCCTCGTCTTCGCCTTGACTCTGTATTTTTCTATCCAGAACTGACTGGTGGGATTATTCCCACTTCATCGCCCTCTTTCAATTCCCTCTCTGCATCCTCTTCGATATCCACATACTCCAGATTCACTGTAACCATACAAGAACCTAAGACCTTCGCTTTTATCCCCGAATAGTTTTCATCGAGAGTATCGAATAACTTTCCCAGAGCTAACGGGGCTGGAAGAAATTCGCTGTCCTTTTTTGTAATGGTAGTAGCGGAGGAGAAGTATAAGATTTTGAAGGTTCCTGGTGGAGCTTTCGACGCCATAATGAACTTCTGAAAACTTGAGACTCTTTTCGTTTTAGATTGATTAGTGAGTGGGGTTAAAGGTAGATTTAGACAAACACGTGGGAAATAACAACCTTTCTTATTTTCCCGTGGGATAATTACTGTTTTGACCGCGGCGGTTGGTTAAGACTCGAACACAGACGTCGGGAGCTTCCAAAAAATCTAAATTGCTCTTCACCGGAAGACTGAAGGTAGAGAGGGACATCAAGGGTATGCCAAGACGTAGATTGCTAAAGCACAAACATTCCCGATACGCCACCACTAAAAACTCGAAAGTGGAGGGGTTTTGCCTTATCTCATAAGAGAAGCTTGATTATCCCGGAAATATCCGATCCATAGGATGATGATGGCGGATCTGCACGTTTGCGCGAATATTTAGAGAGGGATAAGCCCGAGGAAAGGGAAAGATACATAGTATTTGTGTCTTCACCATCCATAGAGTTTTGCCTGTCGGGAAAACACTGGTATGTGCGTCTACGGTGAAAAAATTTGCCGCATAACTGATACATACATTTAGAAAGTTTCTTCTCTTTGCCCTGGGCTATGATAGAAACAGGTTTTCTTAGGGGATATTTTCGGGGATATTTTCGGGGAGATGTCCTCAGCGTAACAATTGACATCAAAGGCTTGGAGACAGCGGCTGTACGTAGTGGGGTAATGACGAAGGAGGGGTTCTTGAAAAAGAGCCTCATGCATGCGACGGGGGAATCTCGGCAGATTGTCCGGGGATTAATACCAGGGCAGTTCCTACTCGAGTACAGAGCAAAGGTTTTCGTTGTAACATGGTCATATCAGAGTCGGATCAAACTTAAGATTTCAATCTCATCTTGACAGTGAATGGAATAACGGTAGTATACCCACCTAGATATTGCAGACTGTTTTTAGATAACCCTAGCCCTGATGATGAGAGGATCAATCTAGAACAAACTTTTCGTAGGGGTATTGGACAATTGGACATATCGACCATTATATCGTTAACTGAGAACCTGAATCGTGAAACTCAGGTGGTAGGGTACATAAATGTATATAGGGCGTTTATGTTGTCAAGCTGAAGTCGAGTGATATTTTGTGCAGATATGCACATAGTGTAGTTACCGGCGTGTAGCTGGATCAACCCTTAGAAGGCCTAGGGGACAGCAAACTTATAAGTATTATTTCTCTAAGAATAGGGGATCAAAGCCTTGTATACCTATAATGAACAAATTTGGGGCGCTGGCCTGCAGAGGTGCCACTATAACTACGACTTATCCCTGGAACGAAGAAAGGACGTTGGAACAAGCTCAACCATTGAGACATTTTCTAAAATATGAAACTATAATTAGAGTTTATCAAGACCCCTATCTTATCATTACTAGTCCTTACCGGGATAAAAGTTCAACCCCAAACATCATTTGAAATGGTTTGCACTACTAGAATCCCGGTGTTAAACTCGCCGCCGAAGAATTATATAAACAATCCAGATAGTTGAATATGATCCGGCTAATTTTATTATCCCGCCCCTATTTTTCGTTTCATCTAGGAACCGTAACGGTGAATTTTGTTAAAGGTAACTCCCTAGACCTCCACTTCTAATGCAACAAGCAATGACTAAATAGTACGAACAATCAATATGAACTTACCACAAGTCCTTCGAAGAATTTAATCTATCCAACAATTGAAAAGATCTCCTAAAGCTGGAGATTCGCTTCAAGGCTAAAGACCTGGTAGTAAAGGCTGTTTAGCTTCAAAATTGTATAAGACAAGCTACATGGGTCCAACCTATTGCAAAGAGCGACCGATCGACACTTAATACCGGCCGCAAAGGCCGAATCGTCAAACGGTCTTGTTTAACAATATAGCTCGGGTTCAATTATGTAGATGATAGATTGCAAAAGGTGAAGGGAGATGGAGCATAAACGGAGGGACGACCTTACAATATTGATATCATACGCCCTACTCAAAATAAGAATATGAGTATCTACCCGGGACTCCAATCTCTAATCTCGGTATCTACCCGCTACATTCTTTCCAAGAAAAAATAAATAATATGATTCAGGCGGTCAGCGAGGATGTAGTACTGTGCACCGGGAACTAACTGCACGCGTGAAAACCTGGATCTGAGGCAGCAAGCGAATCGCTTTGAATTTATAAGACGAGGATTTGGCGCCGAGATTTAACCCGTGGTCCAAGCTTTGTGTAAACACGATGCATCGTTTACTTTCTGAAGAAATGACAGATCTAGCATCTTTTTAAGAGTTGCTGTATTCATCCAATGGGAAACACCGGATTTTTAACAGAAAGGCCCAGGGTCTTCTCCAAATAAAAAGGAGATTGTAGGGATACTTTAATCAACAGGGTTAATACCCTTGTTTAATTGTCATCTCTTGGAGTTTTATGAAGAGGCATTTTGCGGGCGAGCACATAAGGGCGATTGTCGTGAAAAGAAGAAGAAAAATCGTGCACGCCTTTCAATTGGGGGATTACTTCATTCTCGATCCCGGGATGTCACTCGGCCTTGGTTACTACCGGGTGTAACAAGTCACCAAGAACTAGCCGTTTTATCCTCGTACATGTATGTAGTTTGTTTAGTTTCCTCAACACATAAACAGCATAACCATAAAAATGGGCTTCTTGACAATTATTGATACGATTCATGCCCGGTTTAGCCTCAGAGTACTTGTAGGTTGTATCTATGCGTACATACACAGACTAACTTCCATTTTTGGCATGTAGAGTACTTTTAATAAAGTACTCTAGGCGCGGCCCGCAGAAGCTTCATCCTCTTACGCGTCGTGAGCCGGCCCTGCAGCTGCGGGCTCTGCAGTCCGCAACATACGCATCAGTCCGAAATCTTCAGCCCATCCTCGAGAAGGTCCAGACAGGCCATGCCAGCACACCTGCCTGCCAGCACATGTCACGCACTGTCGCGAATCGTTGATGGACTACAACCACGGTCCCTCTCTCCTGCCACGAAATTAATTAGAGAATCAAGAAGAAAGCTTCAGATAACGCACGGCCTGGACTCGGGCTGGGAGCTAATTTTGGTATCGGCACATTGTGGCTTTAGCTCTGTTCCGTGTCTGCTTTCCTACTCCTACGGAACAGCACATTTGCAGGCAGGTGCGGAAAAACCGAGCGTTTTTGCATCCCGAGAGGCAAAAGATCTCGGAGTAAATACAAAAAAGAAATGAAAAAAAGGCTTCCTGTGGCCGGTTTGAAAAGAAACCTATGAAGAGGCTCTTTGGTGGGATGGGAGGCGTTGTATGGATCGAAAGACAGTGGAGAGGGGTCGTTACCAACTAGCATACAGCTGGCCATTGGCGGGGTGCCTGTCGGCTGAGACACCGGTTTTTTGCCTTTTCCCCACCTGCTGGTGGGTTTACCCATATCCCTGCAGGCATGCTGCAGCCATTGCATGCCAAGACCCAGGCGTTGCTAATCCTACTTCATTCGGTTGCCTGCTGGGCAGCAACAAGAAATCTTGAGAACTCAGTTTGTTTGACCGAGCAACAAACATTATGAAAACGAACGTGTAAATTCGAGGGTTTGTAAAGGAAGAAATTGTGAATATGTGACCATGGTATGCAGCCCTGCAGTGCATACGCATTGCTGCAGAAAGCTATGTGTATTAAGCCAATTACATGCGTGGAAGCAAGCATAACCTTTATCTCATTTCCAGCGTCCGTGTGTGCCTATGAGCTTTGTCCAAGAAAGTTAGTTGCTCGTTTCGTCATCTTGGTCCATTCCGAAATTCATCCCCTCACCATTCTCGGGGTTCATAACATCCACCAGGCTTTCTCAATTCTTCCCTACTTCTACTACTTATTCCCCTCCTCTTCATCATCATCATCCTTCTTCTCTTCCTTCCCCTGCAACATTCAGCAAACCATCGTCTGCATCATCGATTTCCCAGGACCCCATCTCGTCCTTTTTCACCCTTATCAGTGGTGAGTTGTTTTACCCTCCATGTCTTTAGGCGGAGATAGCTTTCCCCCGCTTTTATCAGTACCTATCGATTTTTTTTTCGATTTCCATCGATCTATCAATCGTCAATAGCTAGTTTGCATCATGCCCATCATGTTTTTAGAGGCATTTTATCAGAATATAAATGCCTCTAGTTCCCTATGCTTGATTATCTATCTATATTCTCTCTATTGGTGTTCATCTTGGAAGCTTTCTAATGTTTAGTTTTTTCTCTCGCAAACAGAAAAAGCCCGTCATCGTAGGCAAAAAGTCGGCCGTCGAAGCCAAGAAACCCGTCGTCGAAGTTAAAAAACAACCAACCGTTGCAGTTTCAGTACCTGTAGAAGCTCCAAAACCAGCCGTTGAGGTGCCCAAGCAAGTCGCCGAATCAGTTACTGAAGTTCCAAAGCCGACAGTTGAAGCTCCAGAGCCAATTGTCGAACCTCAAGCAGTCGTCGAAGCACCCCAGGCAGTCGTCGAAGCAGTTCAGCCAGTTGTTGAATCACCAAAGCAAGCCGTCGAAGCCCCTGAGCCAATAGCCGAAGCTCCTAAACCAATTGAAACTCCTGAACAAGTTGCAGAAAAAACACAAACACCACAACCAGAAACAATGACTTCATTCAAGAACCTTCCTCAGCGTCTTTTCCCCCAATCCAATGAAGGGGGCCTTGGTGTTCCCCAGCCCAGGAGACATGGAAAGACCCAATCTGCTTTCGTAAGTTAATTTCCGACCCAATTGCTGATGGGGATTGTTTTGATGCCACCCAACTATAGAAGCTAACCTTGATACCTTTTTTAGGCTTTTGACAACACCTCCACTTCGGTGGCTGCCAGTCAGATGAGAAATGCACTGAACAAGATGGCCGATGGTGTCAAGGACCCTGTAGCCAAGAAGGTATGAAGTTATTGCGTTACCAGGGCCAACAATTATGACGTCAGGACCTAACACTATATTACCCCAATAGAAATTTGAGACTGAGATGGACAACTTCTTCGCTCTTTTCAGACGCTATCTTACGGACAAGGCTAAGGGTACTACTCTGTAAGCTACTCTCACGGGCCCCGTTATATTTGGTTGGTTTCTTACGTTTGCTACAGTGACTGGGAGCGTATTCAGCCCCCCCAGGCATCGCAGGTTGTTGCCTATGACACACTCCCAACTGTTGAGAAGTCCACTCTTCTCGGGAAGCTTGCTGTTCTCAAGCTTAATGGTGGTCTTGGTACCTCCATGGGTTGTGTTGGTCCTAAGTCCGTGATCGAAGTCCGTGAGGGAATGTCCTTCCTTGATCTTTCTGTCCGACAAATTGAGTATCTCAACCGTACATATGGTGTCAACGTTCCATTTGTCTTGATGAACTCGTTCAACACCGATGATGATACCCAGAACATCATTAAGAAGTACGAGGGTCACAACGTCGACATCTTGACCTTCAATCAGTCCCGTTACCCCCGTGTCCTCAAGGATTCTCTCCTCCCTGTCTCCAAGGATATTGATTCACCAATCTCCGACTGGTACCCCCCTGGCCACGGTGACGTTTTCGAGTCTCTCCAGAACTCTGGTATCCTCGATGAGCTGCTTGAACGCGGAGTTGAATACCTCTTCCTTAGCAACGTCGACAACTTGGGAGCTGTTGTCGATCTTAACATTCTCGAACACATGAAGGAAACCGACGCCGAGTACATCATGGAACTCACCGACAAGACAAAGGCCGACGTCAAGGGTGGCACAATTATTGATTACGAAGGCACGGTCCGTCTTCTTGAAATTGCCCAGGTTCCCAAGGAACACGAGCAGGACTTCAAGTCTATCAAGAAGTTCAGGTACTTCAACACCAACAACATTTGGCTCAACCTCAAGGCCATTAAGCGTGTTGTCGAGAACAACGAGCTCGAACTTGAAATTATCCCTAACTTCAAGAGTCTCTCTGTCGACAAGAAGGGCGAATCTGATATCTCCATTGTTCAGCTCGAGACTGCTGTCGGTGCTGCGATTCGTCACTTCAAGAACGCTCACGGTGTCAATGTTCCCCGCAGAAGGTTCTTGCCCGTCAAGACCTGCTCTGACTTGATGCTTGTCAAGTCTGACCTGTACTCTATGAAGCATGGTCAGTTGGTCATGGACTCTGCCAGATTCGGCCCTGCACCATTGATCAAGTTGGGAAGTCACTTCAAGAAGGTCTCAGACTTTCAGAAGAGAGTCTCAAGTATCCCCAGGATTATTGAGCTTGATCACTTAACTATCACTGGAGCTGTCAACTTGGGACGAAAGGTTACTCTGAAGGGTACCGTTATTATTGTTGCCAATGAAGGTAGCACAATCGATATTCCTAATGGAAGTATTCTCGAGAACGTTGTCGTTCAAGGATCCTTGAGGTAAAATTTACCAATCCGTCACCCCCTTTGACTATTTTCTAACAAAACTCGTAATAGGTTGCTTGAGCATTAAACGATACCCACCAGCGTTGTATAATGTGCATTTCCTTGGGATTGCGCCTTTCTTATCCGAAAAAAGCGTCCACGTTCTAGCGGTGTCTATTCCTTTACCCAGACATTTTTACGGGAAAGGATTTGTTCTGCGGTTTCATTTTTTTTCTAGATTTTCTTTACTATTTTTTGTTTGGGGATTTCTTTAGCTTGGGATTTTCTTTTTTTGTAATATCATGTGTAGTGCACATCTATGAAGTTATGTGCGCGCCTGTGGGCAAATGGTTTCCATCTGTGTAGTAGGGTCGTTTAGATACCAGCAGTAGATGAATCAACAAGGGTAGTGAAGAAGCAAAAGCATCTACCTATTTGCCAAAATGCGATACTCTTGCTGAGTATGTGATGTGCTGTCAGAGCTCTCAGTAGAGTAGGAGGTATTCGATTCGATCCCCTTAGCATCTGCGGAAGTGGGGTAATAGAGGCCGAAATGTTGGTACACTTCAGAATTCACAACCAGACCGGAATGTTACGCGGTAGTTACCCAAGCAGTAAAGTACCTACATTTACCTACGTATGTTGCCAATCGTCGTTTGCGATCATTATCACGTTTGCCCGCTCCCACGACATGGATTGTTGAAAGTGTGGTGGGGGAGGCAACACAGACATTTCCTGGAACATGGCAAAGGAGATTAGCATATCATCAAAACTCTTTATATTCTCTATCAACTATTTACTAATGTCCGACTTTGGAACCCACCCCGAGTTAACTTGGCTTTCAGTTTGTTTCTCGTGGGTGAGTCTGTCTTGCTGACGTCTGACGTCGGTCGCACAGAAAATCAATGCACAACACAGTGATTATCCGGCCCAACATCCATACCCTGAGCGGATTATCTATCGGGCATTAAGCTTCTGAGCATTATCGTGTAGGGGCCTTCATGCAAGAGGGAAGTAATCATTAAAGCTCCCCGCGGCAAATCTTGAGCATACGAATATCCTAAACATCAGGATACTACATACATACATGTATACACGCGCATAGTGTAGGAACTTTAGTATACAGTAGGATTTATGTAGGTGGTTGAGGAATTTTTTTTTTTTGTAGACACGGATTATCTCTCCGCCAGTGATTCCGGGTGCTTTGTTTTTTCTCAGCTCAAGGTTACTCCGGAGCTTGGACCAGGTGCGAAAAATAGCCGAAACCCTGACCCAAACGTTCTTCACCCGGGAAGCTTTGCCTTTTCGTCTCCAGCACGCGCTCGCATAAGGATCCAATAACGGTTAGAGTGCTTATCTTCAGCAGATTCGCTCGCTCTTTCCCTCGCTCTCTTTAGATTTGGGGTTAGGTTTTGGGGTAATTAATTTGCCGCCTAGCCTAGAATCTTTACTATATTTTCTAGAATAGGTGATGTTCAGATGAAACACGACCCCTTTGTCATTTCCTCAGGTATATACTTGGAGCACCAACCAATGGAATCGTGAGCGCTCACGGCACCAAGGGAAGCAAATACTACCCAACCCGGCAGCACAAAAAACTGAAAGTGGAAATTTGTTTATATTTAGCCCATGCACCAGAGCGGAAGCTTTTGCCGCTCTTAATCTTGATCGGTGGACATTGGGCAACTCGACTCAATGGCTGTCGCGACCTCAACGGTATCTGGAGCTGATCAAGGCTTTGATTGAAGCAAGAGAAAAAAGGAAAGAAAAAACTCGGAACGCCAGCGCATTATCAGGAGCAGCCGTTTCCTAATGTCTTTGAAGATAGATAAAACGGAAGCATAGAATAGATATCGAGATGCTGCCCTGATGACGCGGATGACCTGGCCGCTGTGCCTGGAGCCCAACTTTTGTCTTTGCCAATCAAACAGTCACTACCAGGTTATCGCCTCTTCTCTCGCGTGTCCGCCTCACCCTGTGGCGGCGCGTGGAGAAACCTTGAGGCTATAAGATTCATGAGGCTGTGCTCCCCGCCGTTTCATGAGTGCCAAGGGGAGCCGCCTCAAAAGGGAAAAGTTTCACCATGCAAGGTACGAGATGAGGTGTTGTCGCAGATCCCCTTGACGTGCATCTCCTCTCTGTCTCTGTCTCTCCTCGCCCTCTGTCTCTCTCTCAGTTAATCAGAAAAATAGAAACCTCCGCTTCGCACCTCCTAGGTGCCTGCTACGATGCTGTATCCAGTGGGTCGGGAAGCCTGTAGTAGTATTGTTACACGCGCCGCGCGCCTTGCGGAAACCTGGGAGGAAAATACCGGGAAGAGCAAATGAGCGTGTTTATTCACAGTCGACCCTGTCCTAGTATTTGGCCATATCGGCAACATTTCTTACCAGGGCCAAAGGCAAACTCAGGGTTTGCGGGGAAAGGGAAAGGGAAAGAGGAAGAGAAGAGAGAGGTACAGGGCCTGGCTGGATGCAGATTCTTTAGCGATTCGAGATGGCCCCTCATGATGTCGTTTCAGAGATCCAAAATGGTTTGGTTGATGTTTATTATTAATGCAATATTGTTTCTCTGGCGACGACGTTGTTTCTGGACACGGCAGCGGTGTGTGGTGATTGAAGCGCGGACCACATGATACCCCCAACCCTAGCTATGGACGTACCTCACGGGACGGGGGAGGGTGCATTGACTACCATCATTCACTCATTACCCGCAACCGTTGGCGGCTCATGGAGCACAAGACAGTCTCAATTCTTCACAGGTTCCCTGCCCGTTCACTGAGAGCTGTTGTAAAACAAGAGGATCGTCATTCTCGCTCAGTTCGAGCCTTTCCCGAAGATCTCTAGTCGATATCGTCCTGGCCAATCGTATTGCTGAAGCAGAATGTCTTGGATATAGGGTATCGAGGTTAATTCTCCGTGATCGACGGGCGAAACATAGTAATGGTATCGGGTGTGTCTATTTTCTGCTGGCCTATCGAGATTGAAACGGGCCAAATGGGTTAGGCCGCATGTGTATATTCGCTCTTCTCATTGTGAATACCTTCTGGTGTGATATAAGTATATATACTTGATTTCCACCCCTCTATACAGCTTTTTTTTATTCATCATCACACACAAGCAACTCACAACAGTCAGGTCTTTTCTTTCCTTTCTCTTTTCGCTTCACACGCTGGTCGAAGATCTTTGATAGATCCTTTTTTCTCTTTGTTTTATTTCCTTCGGTTTTTAACGATTCTTCTTTTACAACCTTACGAAACGAATCACTTTTACGAATACTTGGATTGTATTATTAAAAAACCATATAAAAAAACGCAAAAATGAAGTTCTCAGCTTGCATCACCACTATCATTGCCACTTTGGCAACCAGCGTCCAATGCCACAGCTGGGTAAGCCTATTCCTCCATCTTCATCAATACTGCATGATACTAACCTATTTTACAGGTCCAAAGTCTTGAGGTAGTCGGCCCAATCCAGAACGTCAGCAGAGTCCTCAGGGACCCCACCACTCCCCATCCTGGCCTGGGGTACATCCGTGCCTACCCAGCCCGCGTCGATGCCCTCGCCAGTAACACCATCCTGTTCCCGGACACTGCTTTCGCGTGCATGCCACAGCAGCGAACTCAAACCCAAGACGCTGCTTTCGTCCGCCTGAAAGCCAGCCCAGGCGACATCGTCCAGGGAAACTACACCGAGAACGGCCACGTCACACTGCCAGCCGTAGGCCAGCTCAGTTCAGGCACTGTATACTGGTATGGGACCTCGCAACCAAAGGTGGACGAGAAGCTCGCCGATGTTATGCAGTGGACCAGCGACTGCACTGGCGGGGATGGAAGGGGATGCCTTCTGAGCACTGCTCCTTTCGACGATGGAACTTGTGTCGAGAAGTTCAATGACCCGGCGGGGAGGACCCCAGAAGGGATTTTGAGGCATCAGCAAACGCCCGACGGGTTGCCTTGTGCGAGCACATTTACGATCCCAAAGAATGTCAAGGCCGGCTCGCTCTACACGGTTTACTGGGCTTGGGATTACTCCGAGCACCTCGGACCTGAGAACCCGGACCCAAAGGTCGCTAAGGAGTGGTATTCGTCTTGCATGGACATTGAGATGGTGGCCCGTGGGTCGCAGAGATTGGTGAGGAGTGCAAAGTTCAGACTTTAGATGCTCCTTGCTTTGTTTATAACTTCTTTCTTTTGTGAATTTTTATATTCCCTTTCTTATGATATCTTGTTTATATCTCTATGACAATGATGCCTTCTTTTGTTTCTTCTGTTATGAGTTTCTGTTTATCTATAACGATCAGTACATTTTACGATATTTTTTTTATTTGGTTTTTTTATGTTTGGGATGGCATAACTGGTTTTACGCCTCTCTCCTGTATTATGATCGCGACATTGTTTTTTTGTTTCTTTCTTTCTTTGTTTAAGCATTAGCATACATACATAGCATTCTTAGGAGTTGGGACGCGGTGATGGGGAGATGAAAATAAAAAGGAGAAGACGTTGTTATGAATTTATTGGTTCCTTTGGAGCCCGACTAGTGAATTTGAAAAAAGACCAGGATCGTGGGTGAGCACTCGGTTGCTTTGATAGGCGGTTAGCTGTTCTGGCAAGATTTGCAATCAACCAACACAACCGGGGGGATGGCAATTAATAACAGTGAGACATGCGCATATATATGTACATATATATATAGCACAAACAGATATATAGAAGCTACTATTTGCCCTGGATCTCCAGTTGTCGATCCAAGCATCCAAGAGTTGTTGAGCCACTCATTCGGTCGAGCTCGCGAGCTCGCCCCTGGATATACATACATGTAATGTCACGTAACTTAGATTTGCTCAAGACAGGGCGTGGTATACATATTATGTATGTACATCCTATACTACACATTTGTAAGAACCTAAATGTACTGCAGTATTGAGCTTGTGACATCTAACCACCATTCCAACCGAGATACCGCGTAGACAGTCAGTGCACGGACCAGGTGGCTTGTCAAAAGAGTTATGGAACAGTAAAACTAACACCCCGAGCGCGAGACCTCTCTATTGTTTCCCCCTGGCTTTTTCTCTCGAGCTCCCTACCAACGAGGACCTTAGTGATTTCACAGAGCCCTATCAATCAATCATCATCGCCATATTTGGGTACCTTTGTCTGTTTACCGAACTCACAGACAAAATTGAGCAAGGTTGAGACACTTATTTGGCGGGTTTGCACCTTGGTTGGTTGGTGTTTCGCTCTGCCTATCTCCGTGGAAAGTGCCTCCCACTGAAAAGGCTTCTTGAACCAGATCTATCTAACCATGTTTGTCCTAGTTTGTCTTACCAAGGATCATGATCTATCACTCGACTGGTTCGGTTGTGTAGGGGCCAAACTGCCGTCACAGTCGCCTTATTGGTTGAGGTTCAAAGCTGAACAGTGTAAGATCCGGCAAGTACTAGTGAGACAATTCTTTAGTCCTGCATCATCGGCTCCAAGCTGAAACAGATAAATATTAGATAGACCCACTCGGTTAACTTATTTATACCCGATGGACGACCGGTCTCCATCTGTATGGCCGTAGTGTTATGCGAAGAGAACATTCAGCTAGTAATAGTAGGTCACTCTGTATCTGTCAGATGAAATTATACTAAATTTACTACTCGGTATTGATAGCGTTTTTGGGTAGACATTTGATGTATAAAACAATAATTATAACATCTCAAAATTGTCGATTCATCCCCCCACTTTAAATTCCACACTTCTTCCTCCAATACCCTTCCACCTTCACCCTCAACTGCCAAAGCACGTCCGAAAACCTCGACTGACTCACGGAGCCCTTTACCACCCACGGAATCGGCATCTCCAATGTCGGGTCCGTGAATATATGAAACAACTGCTCCATGTCCAACACACTCTCGTTCTCCAAATCTCTTAGACATGCCGTCTTTTTCTCAAACGAATCGCCGGGGTTGAAGGCCTCGTCCCCGTTCTCCCTGTCAAAAAACTTGACGCTATACCACCAGCACCGATAGAATGCCACCTCGAACCGGCTTCCTCCGGGTACCATATCCACGAGAAGAGGGGCGCCGAACATGAGCGAGTTGGGGACATTGCTGAAGGCATTAGAGATGACAGCGTCACGGCAGACATCGATCTTTCGTTTATTGAGGACCAGCTGTGCAGCTTGGGTTCTGCCTATTAAGCTGTTCCCTGGGGATGCTAGGTGGTATCGCATCAGCCGTAGAGCATCATTCCAGGCCTCTGGTCGGATCAGCCTTCGTGTGATGGACTGGCAGATGCCGTATTCGTTGTGCTTCCATGTGTTGTTGAATGCTCTGGAAGACAGGAGGGCGGAGTGGAGGGTAGAGAAAGAGTCGAGAGATTTTAGGATGGAAACGAGAATGTCGACGGGGAGTTGGTCGATTGACACTGCGGCAGACATGGGTGGATATCTGTTGTAGATTTGGGGATCTGTCGCTGGTTTTGTGAGATGAAGTAAATGGTTGCTCAAATCGACTGTAACTCAGTGGGAAGTATCGACCTTGGGGTGTGCAATTTGAAAGGTAAATAGTATAGAAGTATGATATAGCCGTGGCCGGCCTAAGGTACGTGTATATGGGTTTTCAGTTGACTGCTTAGTGCCCTTCGAATCCTGGTCCTTCCTGAAGCCGAAGCACGGTGTTTCTTTTTTCCTTCTTTTCCGGAGTGGGGGTTTTTGTGACTAGATTTCTTCTTTTTTTTTCCAAGTCACTAAAGCTACGAGAACCACCACTATATACTCCCACAAAACCGATCTGGCTTGACACGCAGCTGTACACAGTTTTCGTTCGGGTCGCATTGTCTCGACTGCCGTTATTTATTTATCGCCCGTGTCCATCAATACACAACCCCTTCCTTTCCCACTCTCTCCTCTCACAGTTCTCTCTCCACACACCACCCTGCGTTAAGCGAGGTTCAGGTCCCGAGTATCCTGGATGTGGATCGCTTAAGTGCTAGAACATTACGAATGATCACTGTGGCCGTTTACTATTGAAATAGGGTTAGGTTTTATTTCATTATCGTCCGGGTTTCCGGTCTGGGAAAGGGCAACCACTAAGCGAAGAGCCTGCCTGACGCCAGCTCTGTCACGGCGTTACATAACTACATCTAACCGAACTACAAGTCCACAAGGGATCGACCATCCGCCCACACAACTCTACAAAACAACCAGCTATTCTGCCTACCAATGAATATCGTGTGTGGTCGTAATGGTGGTGGTGGGCGGCTGTCCGTTCCTGTGCTGTAACCGAGGAACCCGCCAAAGTATGATTGATCTAACTTCAACCGTCTGTTTGGAGTGATATACATACCTGTTCCTCTCTCTCTTTCTCCCTCCCGATTGACTCTCCCTAACCGGAAGTGGGTGTGGGCTATCCAGCTAGGGGTCCCGCATGAGAGTGGAGAGATATCACTTTCTTTGCAAGCGAGAGGGAGAGACAGAGAGTGTGAACGAGTTTTCGGATTCACGGAATGTAAACCGTCAAAGCTCGAAACAAAAAAAATATCTTCTCCGGGGGGCTCTGATTGGCCTGGAGAGGCAATTGATGGCATTGATTACATGGTTGTAAGTATGTACTTTATGCATGTTATTAATTATTGATTGTTTTGAGCTTCCGCATCAATCATAAATAGCTTTAAGCTTATTCCATCTAGGTGCCTACCTAATCAAGGGATATTTATCAGGGGCTACTCTCGATTCAAACCGATAACCAAGCACTATCGTCTAGTCGGAAGAAATCAAAAGGAAGAATGGAAGGTTGCATAAACACAAATTCTCATCACTCCCCTTGAGCACCTACACGTTACACCTACTCCCTTCTTATCAAGCTGCGGCCGGATATATGTCGAGAAAAACTAGATCCCATACGTACCACTGTTTCAGAGAAGGTTTTTCTTTCCTAGACCGGAACTATAGACACAAATGAATCGAGATCACTAATTACTGACTATACCAAGGGGTTTGCCAAACAACCGAGTGATATTTCCAAATATATGGCAATAAAAACTGCAGTAATCAAGTTCAATCAACCCGCGGGTAGCACGTATCTTCTATTCTGACCAGAGGAGCTTTAGAAACCTCCCGAATCCCTCGGGGGTCGTAGATAAGGGCACGATAAATAACTATTGAGATCAGATCTAGAATGACGTGGACCAGGACCAGTTAAGCACCGGGTATCAAAACCTTTCCCCTGCATGGCCGAGGCCCGAGGGGGAGCTGCATTTGCATCGTGGTACGAAGCTATGTATATGTGTATGTGGTACCTGGACCGGATTTCATTCACCGAGCATCAATAGTATGACTGGGTGGGGGACAAACCCGGGATCTCCGAAGTGGCTGCTGCTTTGCTGTCGGGCAGTAAGGGGCCGAATGCAATGGGAACCATATAGCCTGAACTCAGTCACTGTTTGTATATGACCAATGGTTAGATTCCACTTTCACAGGCTTTACGGATTGAAAACCGGGGATCTACTTTGATCTACGTTGAAAAGTGGGGTGCAGACAGCAAACCTCATCATCCTAGTACTGAGACAGATTCGTCCCTTTGAATGCCGACACTATCCATATGTGTGCCTAGTAACCTCAAGATGTATGGGTCGTGTGCTCACGCTCAGAAACTGGTAAGTCGGTTTCTGAAACCATCACAACGCCTGCATCCTCAATGGTTTTCTACGTATGAATGTACTCGGGGCAGGTAAAAAGTACCGGAGAATGCAGGTTTTTGGTTCACCAATGGGCGCGCGTGCTAGGCTTGAACTACTGCAAAAAAAGCCCAGAGACAAAACTTGCATTGTCCGGTACTTTTTGCCTGCCCCGAGTATGTACTATGTACAGGTATTACGGCGTACCCGAAATATGCTCAAGGGAGATCTTCAGTTCGCCAGCTCGTACTACTCTCGATCAGGGATGGACATATCAAAAATCTGCGCGCCCGGACCAATACCTGAACACCCGCCCCCAACCACCTCCCGCCGACAGACCCAATGATACAAGCTTCAGCTCCACCCCGGATCAAGCCACAAAATTCCGCACCAACGGGCTGCGTCACTAGTTGATACGGGCTTCCCCACTCACTCACCGCTTATCTCGCTGCCGCGCTTATCCACTGCACCAATACACATAGATCTCGATGTCCGTCACTAGATATCACTCGACATGCTAGAACCCGGGAATCCCCACAATTTCTGCTCCTTGAGGATGGGTGGTGTAAGTGTGAGGGGGTGGAGCTAAAAAAAATAAAAAATAAAAAATGGATTATCTTGTACGTAAAATGAAGTAGTTGGAAATGGCGCTTGATGGCCTTTCTGAGCTGGGTTTCTAGTATATGCTTCCAATGAAAGCTTGGTCTATTTTTATGCACCCCACCGGCCCGGCCCGCCCCTGCTCTAGTATTACATGGCTAGCATCCTTTCCTTCAATACCGATAACACCTTTCTGAATCACATGCGTTGTACGTATAAAAACGTGCGCACGTTAGCTGTAGTGTCTGTTTCTCGGGTTTGTGAGCTGTTTTGAGGTGCAGTGGTTTGGTGGTGTGCGGGAATGTGGGCTGGGGTGCTTAGTGATGATGACTGTGTTTGTGTGCGTTGGGCTCTGAAGGTATAGATCTTCAGTGTCATGTGTTCTGCGAGGGGCGGGTTGATGTGTTGGCGATAGTTGATGGTGGGGGTAGTGGCAATTTTAGAATCATGGGGGATCACTCGATGTCAGGATTAGGTTAATTTGTATTGTGACTGCTTTGTGATTGCTGACAGTCATTACATGTATGTTACCCTGTAACGGGGGTGCCGACAGCGAAAAGAAGCCAAGGCCTATAGTTAACCCAAGAAATTTGCAATAAAGCGTTACAATTCTTTTTTAATGAGTGAAAAACAGGACCGGAAAACTGGAAAACTGGAAAACCGAAAATCCCTCTCCCGATGTGCCTGGTTGGCTCAATAGTCACATGTTGCATTTATGCACGCAACGCTGACCATGTATTGCCAAACCTGAATTGTAAGCACATGCATGCAAATAAGAGGGAAGGAAGAAAACGAACAAAAAAAAAAGAATATTCATATACCCCCACGTCGTCGAAGGCCCAACTACAACTAGCGCTTGATCCTGGTGAGAATCCAGGGTTTAGAAGCTTAGTCGAAGAAAAAAAAAATTTCAGCTTCTAGGTTCGGCGCTCTCTGCAAATAATCCAGATTGAAGAAAGCCGGTCTGACTCGACGAAGCGTTGACTGGGCTCCGCTTTAAGCTGACCATACTTTTAGCTCCACGAAGGAAATGAGACACGTGCAGACCCTTTCCCTTTTTATTGGGAATTTGTAGTGAGGTGGTACTTTGATGGAAGGTTTTGTCCCTGGACCAATGTCCTTTGGTTGGCTTGAAAACCTTTCCAAAGAACCTTTTCACTGAACCAAAGTGACCGGGGCTCTTGATATTCCCGTCTTTGACTTGACGACCTTCGGCAAAAGTAAGACCTTGGGAGTAGTTGCCGTCAACCTGAGCGGAATCATCGTCACCAGGGTCACTTCTAGCACCTTGGAGGCTTGTTATCACATCATCGTCCGTTTGAGTAACAGTAACTTGTGGGATTCCCATCTCTGAAATCAGATCACCAGAAAATTCTGCCCGGGACGGAAGAAGGCTATATCTTCTGTAATCATTGGTGTCTACATCTCCAGTGTACCACGACCGCTCCTTTGGTGAGCTGCTGTCCTCCACTCTATCACTGATACATAAAGATTCCTGGTTGTATCTTTTACAGCCTTCGAATTCGGGCTCTCCAGACGCTGCGTTGAGGTCGATCTTCGATGTTTCCTCGGCTCCATACCAATGGCCCTTGCTCTTCGTGTATTCGCTCGTTATGGATTCATTTGGATCTTCGTCTGACTCTATGGCATAGTCTTCTATGGAAGGAAGTACGCCCATTTTGAAGTGCGGGGTGTTTCGCCGAGTTATCTTTTTATTATCACCTCTGAGAACAGTATTTCCCCTGCTATATAAAGCTTTGACAAAGTCCGCTATCTCGACGGATTCACGGCCATCGGAAACCTGCCTCAAACATTCACCGGATAACTTTGCTAGCGCCTTTCGCCGACCCTCAAGCATCTCGCCATGAGAGCAAGTTTCATTTTCGTCATGAGTGAGCATTTGCAAGAATCTTTTCCTAGTCTCTGGGGTGTACTCTTGCGAGTGTGCAGTACTCTCCCCTAGAAGCATATCCATGGCTCTCTGGGTTGCTTCACCCTTTTCTTGGGTGGAATCAGGAAGTCCGAAGGAATTGATGGAATCAGCCTCTTTTGTATTGTCATCATCCATCATTTCAAAACAGAGATTGGCCATTTCAATATCATTAGGCCATTGTCGATTCCAACTTATAAGCAACTGGCCTCGTGCAAGATCACTTGCCCAAATATGCACATAGACGTGGCTTTGGGGAGAACGATTGTCTGCGCAACATTCCAAGTCTGTGCAACCTTCCAAGTCAATAAGGAGCTCTTTCTCTTCCCAAGGGCCCCATATATTCCTGGAATGTGTTATAAGCACCCTCCCTCCGTCCAGAAGATCAGAACCAATCATGATAAATCTTCCATCGTCGTCAGGGAAGAACAGAGTACTATGAAATATTGTCCCAGAACTTAGATCAAACATCACCGGCTGTAGTCCCGTGACTTCGAGGGATTCTTTGCGTTTAGCTGAGGAAGCAACAAAACTCTTGCCGTTCCAGAACGTATAATTCTGAGGGGAAAGATAGGCTCTGTGTTGATGAGGCACTCGGCACAGAAAGATTGGACAACTTGGGAAATATTTATTGCTTGATTTATCTTTATGGGTCCCGAACAAGTAAATATACCCCCCTTTGATAATCGAGGCAATATCCCCCCACTTTGGGTGTGTGTTCTAAGGTTTTTTGAATTAGTTACCGTGCCCCGACTATTTCCCGCATAATAGGATTGGGAGGTCCATACGTCGAATATGCGGTTACCATGCCGTCTAGCAATAGGCATAACCTCAAAACTACCTTCTTCCACCCTGCCCTTGCCCTTGCCCTTGCCCTTCCCTATCAACCTCATTTCAACTTCCGCAACACCAACTCCATGGTATTCATCACCTTTCCTGACGTCTTCACTTGTTTTTCCTTTTGTAAAAAAAATCACCCCAAAATTGCCACTGAATGGAATTTCAACTATCGGAGAACGAGCCCAAAGATAAAACCTATCTGCGCGTCCTTTACCCTCACTCTCCGACTTGGCGTTGTGCTCATTTTCTATGTCGGTGAATGGAATGAAATCTGGTACATTATGGAATGCACTGCTGTTCTTCGGATATGGCCAGTGAGTAATTAACGGATCAAGATGTGAGCCGATCGATGCGGCAGATGTGGCGATACCGATAGGCTTTTCTTGGCCAGGAAGGTTGACAGAGACATCACCAAACAAAAAGACTGGAATACCTCCTAAGATGGAGGAGCAACCGAATGTGCGGGGATATCCCTTGCCATCTTGCTCTTGAAGAGGACCGAGATATTCTGCCTCAAGGATAGCCGGCGGGAATAATATACGACGGACAGGTTGAGGGCCTGTGTCCTCAGAAGCAACGATTGACATTGTTATGTTATTCGCTTATGAGAACTAAGGTATGTGAACCCTCAGAATAACTATGACTTTGGAAAGAAAGTTTAGGTCACAACTTGATATTCCTATTTTGGGGATTCTTGACCGACTTATAAAAGGAAGCGCGATTTAGGTAGCTCGGTTACAATTGTTGTAATGATAGAGAGTATAGGACGAGGTGGCCCAAAAGAGTGGTGAAGGGGACGGTGGTGGTTCTAGTGAAAAAGCGTGGTTGTGGTGGTGGTAGAGTTGAAGTTAAGAGGTAGTGAAGTAGACTGCCGGCTTTTGATAATGGGTGTAATTAGGGTGGGGCAAGCCGAAAGCAAATGTTGTTTCAACCTCCTATCCCATTAAATGGTTGCTTATACAAGCTTACTGAAAGATATCTTAGGAATAGATGGCTAAATTCGTCCTTAGCAAACCACATGTAGTGCCCTGGGTCTCGGGCTCTAGTGCAGTCTAAGTGCTAAACCGTCCACGCTAGGCAGCGGTGCTACGCCGAGTGATATTTCATGATACAATCGAATGCACATTCGACTAGTCAATGATGGCTACATACACGGGAACGCATGTACACACCTTTAGCTGAGAGCAGTCACCCGATGAAGTAGTTTATAAGTGGATGTAAATCGTGTTTAATACTACGTCAATTAGACTGAACCTCTACTATAATATGACCGGTCAGTATATATCCCTAACTCCATTCCCGGATCCTCTGTGACTACATTTACCCTATAAATCCTCTGAGGACTTTGACCGAGAGACGTCGATTCGTCGAGTGAAGGAAACCAAACCGAACGAGATACATAGAGGAAAGCTGATATGGGTTCCGGGAATACTGTGTAAGATAGGTCAGATCATGAAGTACTCATACTCACCTTGTAAGAGTACACTCGGGTTAGTAACACGTCAGGGGACCAAAGCGTATAAATGAGGCATAAAAGTATGTAGGCGCGATGTAGCTAAGATTTGATTCCCTGCTGTCTATGAGGTTCCTTAGTCAAGATGAAGTCTTTGATTCTACCAACACAAGATAAACAAAAATGGTGGCCAGACCGGAGATATAATCAAGAGAAGGAATAAAGGGAAATCTCATTGCTTCTTGCTTGTCATAATCGTACATTCGCATAAATTCCACCTATTGCATACATGTATATTTTATGGAAATAAAACAAACCAGAAAATGCTTGATAACAGAAGATACAAAAAATAAATTTTCAAAAATGCAATGCGCTCAAACTCCCAATTTTGTCTTCCGGTCCCCGCGCTCATAAAACGACAAACGTACCTATTTTCTGCCCCAATTCTCCTATTTAGACACCACCATAACCGTTCAGCGATCCGCCAGGCATCACAGTTGGCTCCGCTCTCTCTGCCTCAAGGCCTAGTCTGAACCTTTTGATTTTCCTTCCGGTTCTCCACACATATAAGACAAGCGCTATTCCGATCGCCACAGCGGCAACAAGCAGCCCAGAGTTTACTGGTCTGGGATCCTTGTGGAACACCTTAAATGTCAACGCGTCCAGCCCAGCTTGCGAGAAATTAAACAAGCCTGCAAGACATATGACTAGACCATATATTTTTCCAAACGTCTTAAAACCAAACACTTTAGCGGTATAGTCGGAGACAGCAGTATAATAGAACGGTCGGTAAATAACGAATCCAATTATTCCGGCAAGAGCTGCCATGTATGAACGTTCTACTAAACCGAGAGCCCCAATTGCGGCGGCCATTGTAACTAGAATAGACAGGACCGAGAGTGTTGAAAAACTGTCTAGGATCAGGCCAATAAAAGGAACGGCGAGCACACCACCGACTGGAAGTGCGATATCGAAGAATTCGTTGATCTCAACGGCTTTCGAGTAAGAGTGGAAGAGAAACTCATACTGTGATCTGATTGTAGCTACGAAGTAGTTGATTCGAGTCTACACCGGATTAGATTCTGTACTTCGACCAAGAGGAATGGGAATATACCATTTGAATGATAGTAAACAGTGCGATCAACACAAACCACCCACTAGCTATTTGCTTCGTGACTGGACGGCCATGCATGGCACCCCAAACACCGCTACCCTCATGTCTTTTTTCTCGTCTCCTCTCGCTCTCTTCCGCGGCGTTCTTCCCGCCAAGTAGACTATCAATTTCGCCAATAACAGATTCGTGATGTTGCCTACGTATTCGGACTTCAACTTCGTCCTGCTCATAATCACTGTCCTCCTCCTCAAGCTGTCGACACTAGACATTAGTAACACTGGCCAGTAACTTATTGCACATAAAGCTTTGACATACCAATTCTTCTTCAACCTCAACTTGTCTTACCAGTTCTACAACCGTCTTATAGCTTCTGACTGGCATCACAAGAACTTGCATCACGAAGATGAATGCCGGGACGATGAGATATCCCAAAAACCATTCCTGAAGTCCAACTCTTCCACCAGTCTTTTCATAGACAATACGGTACAGTAAGAATATGGCACTTGAAGAATCGAATGCACCAGTCAACATTGACAGAACAAGTCCTGAATGCGTCGGAAATGCGTTTGACAGATGGAAAGACGGGATGAAGATGAAAGGGCCACCGACGGCCAGAAGGAAATATGCGATTGGATAAGCTACAGGCATATCAATTAGTGACTACCTCGTGATAGTGGGCCAGAGTGAACTCACGATCAACGCTATAACTATGAATCTTGTCGGCAAACCCAAACCCAAGACATCCAAGCGCAAAGAGGACCGAACCGATCATGCCAGAAACACGGGGACCATACTGGTCAAGAATTGCGCCAACAAGCAGGGCACAGACATTTGTAGCTACAGCAGCAACCGTAAACATGAAATTCAGCCTAAATCACGCCTACATCAGCATATCGTCTCCTCGATAACTCCAGTAATACCAAGGAGACACCATTCTACCCACCGAATCTCTTGTTCAAAGCACACATGAACATTCTTGGCAAGTTCATGCTCCGTACAATGTTCCCTATATATCCCTTCTTTAATCATTACAGGCTTCAGCGCAGCATATCCAAATACCACACCGGCAGCCAGTAAGCAATAAATTGTTGCTACTCCAACCTGGACCACTCGTATCGTCCTAGAAACCTCAAATGCACCGACTGGAGGAACCTTCCCTGGCCTAACGCCCCCATCGTACTTTCCTCCGTTGAGAGTTGTGCTTTGCTGGTCTTGAATCGACGCGTGCAGTCGGTTTTCAGCCACCGTAGAGGATTGGCTGGTCATTGTGTTGGCGATGTTGACGATTTACGCGATGTTGCCTAGTATAATTGGCAATCGAAATGACGTAATAGCAGTTGCCGCCGCACAATTGAGCCTCCACTCGTGTACCGACTAGATATCAATTCAACGGATCGAAGAAATCGCAACTGAAAGTAGAGCTCAATCGTAAGAGCAGTGGCAGAGCGGGACTTTAAGAACCCCCTGAAGTGTGGGGCGGAAAGAGAGGGAAAAAAACTGGGATAAAATAGACAGCATACCATAGCACTAAGTCCACCTGATGATCCACGCAAGCTCACAGCAGCAAGAAGCTTCAAGTTGGGTCACAACAAGGTACAAAACCCATTTAGGTATTCTGGGTGGCCCTACGTTTTAGAGCCTGGGCCACTCGCAAAAGAGGGAAGAGCCTGTATGTTGGGGGCCCAATCAGATTTACAGATGGCGGGAACTAGCCGGCGGTATGGTCCGAAACATGGGGAAGCTAGCGACATGTATCCAGTAGTAGAATCATTTCGGAGCAAGACCCAAAATTCGACTTTTGTATCTGAGATGACGTTTCATGTCCATGCGGACATCATGTCAAGTCACTCGTCAAATTCTTAACGATGCTCTACTGCCTTTTAATTGGCATGTAGAATACATGTACGCCTACATGCAGTAGCATCACGTCACTTGATACAACAAAGTATTGGGTATGAGTACGCGGGGATTATACTCTATGTACCCCAACATTCGACTGGCAACATTATTTACCGGCTACCCCACACGAGTACAATTTACAATACCAGGAGAGGTGCATTCTAGCCGTTGAATTGGGGGGGGGTGCACACATACAAGCCAAGACAGAATCTCAAACAGTCACGAGCTTACGCTTTCAGTCGGGCAAGCTGGAAAGTTATCACCCTCTATGCCTTGGTTCTAACGCTACAAGTTTAGCGAGAATTATAGCCTCCTGGGATTCCTAATGGCTACATGTATATGTATCTTCACAACAAGTCACTCGACACAAATATTTTCTTTTCTATATATGTATAACGTACGTATGTACATGTAATATATACATGTAGAACGTCCTATTCAACTCCAATCTCTAGCTCTATATATACACTACATGTATGTAGGTTATAGATAAAGCGCTCAAAGGGAAAACAGACTTGACGGCTAGAGAAATCACTGACGTAATTAACTTCAAGAAATGAGGTAAGATGGCAGCTGACAGGCGGGGAGGTTTATGATACAACTTATTCCAGGGCGTAATACATGAATGTAGGTACTCATAAAAGCTCTGAATACCACTAGTACGGTTTAATTTGTTTCAAAACCAAATCGAAACGCTATTTTCCGTGTTACATGAGGTTGGTGCTTTATTTTGTCAATCACTTAATCAATGAATTATCGATCTGCAATCAATCGTCAATCATTTTTTCTGTAATTTTGCCGTTTTCACGAGTCGGGGTGGTCACTCTAGATCTCCCGGATCCTCATCCATTGATCGTTTGTTATTATACTAATTAAACTTGCGCACTTCCTTAAAACTGTACTGTCACTATTACTCCATTTGTACGACTTGGGATCCGATAACAGTTTAGTTTTCCATAGGACGTTTTCACTTACACACATAAAACGTGCAACAAAGAGGTAATCGTACAAAACTCAATACTTCTATAGTAATGATGTTGGCATGCTAACTAAGCTATTTCATGCAAGTTCGCATTTGACATGCGCACGGTCATCTGACTAAGATATAGCTAGCTAGGCTATACTCTTCCTCACTCTCTAGTACACCTAGGCTCCATAAAACCGTCTCATGCAGTATCAATGCACTGCCTAACTCAAACTTACCGGTGCAGACTCCCCGGCTTATGTCCTATATAACAGTTAACCCGTACTATTGCGAGGTTCTGGGTTTTGATTTGGAACCCGCCAATTTGAACTTTCTAGTATAGCTCGGTGCTTCTCCGACTGCTTCGCCAGCTTCGCCAGCTTCTCTTGCTTCTGGTGTTCGATCTCAGCCTCTATTTTTTTCTTAATCAGGATTGACTCGTATTCAAATAACCATCTCACCGACCAATCGAAATCTGCACAAAGGTTTTTTTTAATTTTATTTTGTATTTCCAGCCAGGGCCCTGATAAGCCCCTTACCAGGATAAAATTCTTTTCTTCCATCGATACCCGCCTGCCTGACTTAGCCAATAGATGTGCTAAGGAATTGATTTTTGAGACATAAACCTTTGCAGTCCCTGGGGCACCTAACTTGAGATTATATAATATTCTTGTTAGTCTATATTGTCTGTTTCTGTCGATTCCGCACTCTGGGTTGTCCTTAACAAGCCTTTCCCAAAGCTTCCTAGGGTCTCTGAACCTCTGATATCTAATATTGGTCTTTTTATCCATAGTAAATAGTATCCTTTCACAAGCATTCCGGTTTAATATTTTCCAATCTTGTTTCATCTTTTCTAGAAGCTCAGATCTAGAATTCGAGATAAATTCTACTAGAAGCTCAGAGACCGTAAAGGATCCCGCTTCAGAAGGAGATGTCGAGAGATTAGTATCCGTAGAGTCGGAGTCAGCGTCGGAATCAGCGTCGGAATCAGCGTCGGAATCAGCGTCGGAGTCTGAGTCTAAGCCGGAATTAGAGTCGAGATCGTGATCGGAATCGGAGTCGGAATAGGAGACAGAGTCGTAAGGGAAGTCGAAGGTAGCACACAAAGCAGGAAACCGATCCGAGGTACCCTCGATATAAGACGTATAGTCGTTGCAGAAGTCCTCAAAAGTGCTGCTTCCTACCATTATAGCCCAGAGTCCATCTTTCATCAGATCTTCCTTTATTTTAGACTGCCAATAGCTAAAATAGTTGTGTGGTCTAGGTGGAGAGGACCAAGTGAATTTGCCGATATTTTGCATTTTTGGGATGTGCGAGGTTTGACGAAGAGAAATTAATCTGGAGAAACAGTACCTCTCGGTGTATTTTAGAAAATACAATCAACTTGGAGAGTTTATACTCGTAAATAGGTAGATATCAGCTGCTGCTTGGTGGATCTAGTCCATTGGTTAGTTATTGGGAAACTATCCAAACTCTTTCGCGATCAACGAAAAGGGAGGGGGATATATAAGCACCTAGTACCTAGTGTAAACACGACAAAATTTGATATGTGTTATCTAGAGCAGGTGGAATACCATAATTACGTGTCTTTTGCTAAAAGTGTCTATGAGGCTAAATTGAAATATACATACATGTACATGTAATATTAGAGCTACATGTGTACATCTACATGTATGTATGTACATGTATGTACATATGTATGTAGCATTAGCTTCGCACAAACGTTGATACGTTTCGATACCCGTAATATACTAGCGATTTCCACGAAATCTTTGTGAGCACTCGTTGGGAATTAACTCAAGGCCCGCTACATATCTGATATTGTATAAATATATATTCCGCATGTGCTCTTGGAAATAGCGCAAGCCACGATAAATACAGATATCGGCGTGTGAGATACATATACATGTAAATATTAACGATCACTAGTACGTAGGAATATTAATTAAGCTGATATCCGATGTGAGCCTACATGTAGTAAATACATGTAACGATGATTTAGGGTTACAGTTGTCAGTCAGTTATGGTACTAGTGTAAATACGTAAGTACATGTAGTGGTATTACATAACGCTTTAGATGAAGCTAGCACATACATCATCTTAATTACCGATAACGTGGCATGGTAGCGTTCCAGATTAAGGTTATTTCAGCCCATGTGTGTGCTTACTGTGACATTGTATGTAGAGTAGAAGAGATATGTACCACACACACCCATGGGACCCAAGCTTTTCATCAAGGTCGATACTTTCCTGGTGAGCTACCTACCTCCTAAATACATGTACAGTCGCACCTCGTTATGTCGTTAGCGTATTCTGGAGCCAAACCCCTACGAGATAGCAAATATACGAGACAGCAAATAGTTTTTGGTGGAGAAGAGTAGTACCTGTCCCGCAAATTCGTACGAGACAGCAAGAGATCCGAGATATCGAATTACGAGATAGGGGGGTGCGACTGTACATACATGTACCTACTGGTATCTAAACAGCACTAACTCGCATAAATCCAGAAGCTACCTGCTTTGTCCAGCTTCCCACCGAGATATGTCTAATTGGCCATCTGTGATTATACACCGGAGATGCTGGAGAAAAACTTTTCAGTTGCAGATCGAAGCTTATGTGTGGTATATACAGTCGCAACTCGATATGCCGGATTGCCAAGATTCGAAGGATTTCGTACGGGATAGCAAGGGATCCGGCGTATTGAGATCTGGCATATCGAGTTGCGACTGTACATGTATGTACCTCATACATACAGTATCCGGTAGAATTATTGCAAAAGTCAGAACTAAGGGCCCGTTCGGACAACCCAATAATCTAGATTATTGGCGATAATCTGACGGATTATCGACTTTTGGATTATCACAATAATCTATGCTATTTATGCAATTAAATAATCCAACATTCGGAACTCCTGATTATCCCAATGATCCGCCAAGAAAACAATCACCTTTGGAGGTAATTATTCCCACACAACACAGATATCCTGAGAGCTAACATTATCCGGACATGTAGATTATCCACTTATTATGAGTATTATGATTATCACTTCCGCTACCTGATAATCCAGTCTGTCCAATAACCCGAAGAAATAATCTAAGGTTGTCCGAACGGGCCCTAAAAGAGTGGACTTCTTGGTCCGTGCTCGCAGCAAAAAACCTTTTAAGGGCCAATAGGACTATCGGGTCACGGAAAACCCACTTTCGCAATAATTCTACCAGACTCTGTATCTGATGCTCACAAGGCAGCACAAATGCTCCGTGCCAAGTCGGTCCAGGCCGAGCCGCAAATCCCGGGTTCCCGAGAACCCTGTTACTGGGGTGTTAGTGATCGAATACCGGCTATTGTACATGTGCTTTTGGATTCGAGAATACATGCATGTATATAACCAAGAGTATGTGCTCTACGGTCATTCACGGAGTGAAGAAAGACATGGGGATTTTAATCGGTTCTGGAGCTTACTCAGTTTGGTTTTGCGTGTGTAACAACGTCGGGACTGGTCCGTATGTTTTTTCTTTTGCTCGACGGTGTGAACCCCGTGGCCAGATCACCGACCATGAAAGTCTTTACTATGGATGGGCAAGAAAATAGAGTACCTAGGTACTCTAGTATCGGACACAGAGGGTTTCTTTCGCACCAATTGATACGCGCATCAGGCGTTAGCATCTGCCAAAATCCCGGAGACGATATGAATTATTCGGCGCTTTTTGCCTGCCCCGAGTAGGTATCATATCCAAAGTTGTAAAGGCACAGTTGCACACACCGCCCTTTTTCTCTGGGATACTCTACTTGGCGCTGTGCTACCGTAAATCGCACCAAACATGGAATAGTTCGGGTTATTTTTCACGACAGGCGCTTAATAAGGCATGAGAGTCTGCTATGACTCCGAATGGAGATAACAGAGGTGGAAAGTTTCAAGACTGCCTTATACTCAAATTATGTGTATGGAGGAGTTGTTGTAGCATTGCTATTAGTTGCGTTGTTGGAGACTAACTCTCGCTGGGCCTCTCTCTCCAGCTATTCTTTAAACCTGGATTCATATATACCTCTAATAAAGGGAGTAACTACTGTACTCGTTTACCACGAAAAGAACCAGAAAATGCAGTTGCTCAGGGCAAGGATTATTTGTATGGAGTGGCGGTGATCTCTCATACAAACTATCCCTGTTTCCGTCACTTGCATTTTCTGGTTCTTTTCGTGGTAAACGAGTACAGTCAATCGTGTGGGCCGGCTGAGCCTCAGTGCGGGTCCCCTGCCGCCAAAATATATTTCGGTCCACCCCCCCTCCCCCTCCTGCTGCAGAAACCTACGTGTGTGCTACAAAGACATAAGTCTTATATCTGAACAAACACCCCAGAAGCTTCTCCTACGACCTCTTCCTCTTCTTCATCTAATTTCTTCTGCACTTACGTCTGTAATTTGCTTTGCAATCGAAAACCCATATTTTATAGGCTTTCTTATGGAATAGCTTCACCTTTTTCCACCGACCACAGTCCTATTCTAGGTACTTAGTCGTGCAATCAAGTTTTTAGGAAATTATCAACTCAGCTTATTTACAGCACTTACTTCCTAGCCTTCTATTCAACCTACAGATTTTTACCTCTCATTTTAAGGCCGAAGTACTATTCACGGTTCAGATATAATGTCGAACTCCGGTTATTATGGATCTGGTGGGGGCAAGTACACATCCATCCCCGAAGAACATGAGATGTTCTCTCCGGATCTATCCAGCCCGCCAGCACACAAGAGAAGCGACAGCCAGGATACTCTAGTTGGTGGCCCTTTTAGCCCAGATATGAGAGGACCAGGTCGAAGGGGTTTCTTTAGCTCCTCATCAGACCTGGAGCCTGGGTTTCGGCTTCAGACTCGGATGGCATCCATGAGTCCAGGGGAAAAAAAGGCGCTCAGCAGTTTATATAGCTCAAGGCGTCAAATGCGTAAAAACTTTTTGCATATGATAGCGCGATTTGCATTTACTACAGCTTGTTGTGCCGCCATTGTTGGGTTGTTCAAGTTTTATAGCGGCAGCGGCGTGCTCGATAACGATAATAAACATATTTTCAATGCTATATATATAGGGATTTCGATGATTCTCAGTATGAACTTGATTGTAAGTCAATCCTTTAAGGGAGTTTGAGGCCAAGCTCAATTTCTAACTCAATACTTCTTTCGGATTGATAGTCAGCCTTCAAATCTTTAGCCAACATGATAAGGTGGAGGTTGCTGGCTGCGCATGAGTTTACACTAAGAGAGGTAAGTTTCTCAAAAGCCTGTGACCCAATATCTCTAACATTGTACAGGTCGACTTGATTTTGGCTTGTAGCAGTTTCCAAAAAACGATCCAGTTGCTGTTCACACCGTCCAAGGGACACACACACCTTGCGACTAAGTCATGGGTGTTTAGACTCGGCGCAATTGCATGGATCCTACTGGGAGTGGTAATTCTACTACAATGATCTATTATATATAAGAAATGTTTTTTTTTACTGATATCTTTAGGCGGCTCAAGTCGCAATTGCTCTGATTGGTTTAACCTATAATCATGAGGGCGATATTGCCCGAAAGACGGGCCCAGTTAATATTACCGCATTGGATTCTGTCTATCCCGAGACATATTGGACCTTTGATACAGCTCTTGGTATACCACTTCCGGTGCAGAAATGGGCAGCCAATATGCATGGTTCTTGTATGTCATATAACTTTCTCATTTTTCTAGTAAGTTATTTTAGGGTGTCTGACGTATTGATAATCATGTACAGCAAGCTATTCAATCGTCCCTGTTTACACCTTAGATAAAATCGGCTCAGTCAGTGACATGACTCATTTTTTGCGTTATGACCCTTCAAATAATACTATGACATATACTGTGAGCACAGGCTCCCGGACCTAAATTGCTTCAAATATTGTGGGTGTGGTCTTGAGGCTTACAAATTCCATCAGATTCAAGAGTGGGCAGTGGACTTCTCGGTTTCCAATCAATTAATCTCAGGCGAAACGAATCGTACGGTGGCTGTTACTCCACAGTGTGAATATTATCCAATCGAAGAAAATAAGTATGGTGATGCAGACACACCATTTACGATTTTAACAAATGAAGGTGTAAACGTCACAATTGACTGGTTGAAGGTGAATCCCCGAAGGTTATAAACTCTATTTTTATTCTATGGACTGGCGTACTAGTACTTCGAGAAACTATATCTTGATTATAACTGATAATTCTAAAATTAATAATCGCTCGAGATATTTATTGGACATAAAATTGTACGTTGAATTTGATAGGTAGAGGCTAACATATATCCTATTC